AAGCCGTCAGAAGAGCAAAGCTCTGTCCCCCGTCATGAAAGCCCCCCCAGCCTGCATGCACAGCCACACCTCAGTGAGTACTGTCTGTGGGCAGCACGGTTGGTTAGGTCTCCTGAGTGAGTCCACTGGCTACCTTGGGTGCCCATGGCTTTGACTAGAAGACTACCAGCAAGACGCATGATAAAAGAGAAAATAATTTTTACTTGTAATCTGTGAAGAGAGTCTGAATTTACAAAATGGTTTTGCTGAGTGCTAAACACATGGATTTGGAAGAAACAGAGCAAGTTACAAGGCTGCACTTGGTCTATCGCTGACGGAAACACAGATTACAATTCCACATGATTACGATACCTCTAGTAGGTGTCTCATATCCGTACCACCAAAGTCATAGATAAGGTGCTCTCCACTAGAGAGCAAGCAGAAGAAACAGCCTGAGGGTTCCCTTGTACTGGGAACTCTGCAAGATGGAGCGACTTGTCTGGTGGGGATGGTGGTGTCAGGCTTTGTTTTGTTTTGAGGCTTAGTTCAGAAATAAAGAAAGTAAAGAGCTTTTCTCTCTTACAGTATGGCCCATGTAGTGGATCCTGGGAAGCATGTTTACTCCAAATAGAGGCAGGACAGGGTGTCCTCTGTGCCTCACAAGCCTCTGTCCTTTGAACCTGATCACCTGCTTGTCTTCCGATAGGGTTTGGCTGAGCGGTTCTCTCATGTATCTAGTATAATGTGTCTTGGCTGATTTCATACTCAATGGCAGAATACCTGAGACTGAGTCAGGTATAAGGACAGGGACTACATTTGGGCTCACTGTTCAGGAGGCTGGAAAATCTTCCACTGGGAATCCCCACCTGGTGAGGGCCTTGGGCCACTTCCAATGATGGTGGAAGGGAAGGGCAAGCTGGCTCCTGCAGGGGTAAACTCTCAAGGGACAGCCTCCCTTTGTAACAAGTCACTCTTGCATAAACTAATCCAGCCCTTCAAGAGCGACAACTCATTCAGTCCCAAGAGATGACGTTAATCCTTCATGAGAATGGATTTCGTGACCTCAGTGCCTTCCACGGGTCGCATCACCTCCCAAGACTGTGAGAGTGGAGACCAGGTCTCCACATGGGTTCTGATGGGAACAATCCATGTTCAAAACTAGCACAACTACTTCTGCACATTTTCCTTTGAGTGAAAAAGTAAAATTAAATCCACTTGCCCGTTATCATTGAGCTTTAAAGTTCTCTTTGGTTTTCACTTCCCACTTCACTGGCAGCTGAAAACCTCGGGTCATCCTCCCTCCATTACCTCAACTCTGCATTGGACTCCAAGCCCGTGGACCCTCCATCACGGTGCTTCTCTTCTCCAGCCTCCCATGGCCACCTCTTAGTAGTCACACGTCCCTATCGTTTGGATCCTGAAGTCTTGTAGTGGCTGTCAGGTGGCCTCTCAGGGTGAACCATTCTGAGACTGCAGTCTGTATCATTGTCTTATTTTTAAACCAGATAAAATCCAGAAGAAGAGGGAGTGGTCGTCCAACACCTGATTGCTGGTGCCTGGGCCATCACCTCCTATGCCTCCTGCCCGGCTCTACCCCAGGGTGATCCTTGTACTCCATGTCCTGCTCTGCATGCACAGAGTGTCCCCGGGCCCCATGGAGCCACTGCTGAGCTGCAGATGCCTTTTATGTCCCTGGGCCCCTGCAGAACCTCCAACCTGTTCCCCCTCAGGATCCCTAGAGAGACAGTCACCACCTGTTGTCCTGGCCACTCCATCCTTAGCCATAGCAGAACCTGGCCTCTGTCATTTCTCTCTCTAAAAAGACATTGTTGGGTTCAGTAACACATGCCTGTAATCCCGGAGACTCAGGAGGCTGAGGCAGGAGGATCTCAAAGCCAGCCTCAGCAACTTAGGACCCCAAAGCCTGCATGAGGGTTGGAGGAAAGGGGACCTTGATTCTTATTTGATAAAGTAGGAAAGTATTTTTAGCTTTTTCCAGTGTGTAGAAACCTATGGAAAAAAGAAACAAGGGGCCTGGACAGTTATAGGGGACAAGCTCCTGGAGTTGGAGTGCTGATAATATCTGCAGTTAACAGCTTTATCATCAGCGGTAAGGTCACATGCTTCTCCCACCTTCCGGCTGACTGCCGAGAACTTTCTTCCTCGTGCCCCAGAGTTCTCTTTGTTAAATAGCGACTGGCTGGCCCTGACCTACAGAGCAGTCCTAAACGTCCACCTCCCGTGTCTGGCCTGCCCTAACAACTCCAGTCCACCCTAGTGCCTTTCTTCCTTGAGCTGACGTCGTGAGCCTGCCACACAAGGTCACTTGGGGCTGTAAGCATTCTACGATCCATTTTTCCTGCCCCCACACCCCAGTTAGCCTCAAAGTTTCTAAACACTAAAAAGAGCTTTAGAAGCTTTCCTGGCTACCCAGATTCCATTTAAAGGTGGGATTCAAATTCTAATGTGAGAAGATAGCATTTTTGAGCACACACACAAAGTTTAAAAAATAATAATAAATAAGGTTCGCCCTTAATATAATTAACAAAGTTCTTCCTCATGGAATAATTTTTCTCTCAGATGGTGAAAAGTGTAGACTAGAAGGTATCTCTCTGGATAAGCAGACTACATGAAAAATTTCTAACCGCCTCGTAGAACATCAGTGAATTTCACTAGAAATATTAGAAATCCAGCAATTCTGGTGCATTTCCCAGGATTGTCAAATTGTGGTGGCTTAAATCAGAGTGGCTCCTGATCTTTGTCACATGGTGGGTCACATGGACAATGACAGTGTTTGCACTGCACCCTGAGGTGAAGGAAGAGGCTGCTCAGCAGGGTTCCTGCCACCTGAATATGACAGGGCCAACTGTGTCTCCCCCAGGGCTCAGGGACTGGGAAGCCCTGATAAAACTGCGCATTCAGGTGTGTCCGAGCTCATTTGGTGATGACAGTAGCAACCAAACTAAGAAATGCTGCAGCCAAACCTTTTCCTGTCCTCATTTCTGCTTTTAACATTGTCCAAGGTTACAAAGCCAGTCTTCCATGCAGTCTTGAGTGTGAATGGCGCCATACACATGGGGATTGGAATAGTTTTCAATACTGTTGCCCTTTTTCCATCATTTCCCTTAGAGAGAGAGGGAGAGAGAGAGAGAGAGAGAGAGGAAGACATCCATCTTCTCACTTTTTTGGATCTCAAATGTATCTTCTCGTGGTTTATGGGATGAATGGGTTGAGAGAAGGTCCAGCATGCTGAGTGCTACAGAAGTAAACTCTTAGCCCAAGTTCAGTCTGGTCCAATGACAGAGAGCTAAGGCAAGTTGCTCAGAGGACTGTCTATGTACAGATATCTTCTCCAGACTACTGTGAGTGCTGTCATTAGAGGAGAAATATGCCACATGTGGGGGTTTTCAGGAAACCAGTTTTGTCAGACGCTTCCTCTGCCATCACCAAGTGGATGAAGACTCTTTTCTATTTCAGTAAACATCAGCATTTTCTGTCCACACTAAAATAAGCCACTAGAACACAGGATAAAAGCAGATACCAAAATTACAAGGGTCTGTGTTTTATTTATTACTGCCTGGAATTAAGATGTTGCACATTCCCAAGGGGTTCTATTTTCTGGCCCCAGGCTCTGGGCACTAGAGAATTTAGCAGCGAATGAAAGAATCATTTACAGTATATGCTGGAGGTAAAAAGTCCACACGATTTTGAGGAGCTAGCCACACATGTCTACTGGGGGATAGGGGACAAGTCAGAAATATAACTCTGGACACTTGCCAATTCCACCCCCCAAATTTAAGAACAGCCAACTTTGCTGCAGGCACTCATTTACTCACTTCCAAAAATAAATTAAAGAAACAGAATTGGAAGCTGCAGGTGGGATAAATGAATTGTCTTGCCTAAACTGCTATGTAAACTAAAATGGCTCTATAATTATGTCATTGTAAGTACCCTTATCATCAGGAGTAACCACATTAATAATGATAAAGTGAATTAAGGAAGCAGAGTTATATTTTATTTCTTGTGCAAATAAAAACATGCCACATTAGTAAACATTGGGGGACCCATACAATAAAATCCCAGTAGGCAAATCCCTGATGGACCAGGTACCTAGTTAGATAGCACTGAGCAAATTCTCGGTGCTATAAAGGGGTCAGAACTCACATGCGTGACCATGTTCTCTATATAAGTGTGGCTTGACTCCTGTTCAGGAGTACAGGTCCCAAGATAGCTCCCAGCAAGGCATTTGGAGGTTCTTAGAATCACATACGTTTTCTTGACTTTTGTGAATACATCAGGTAGGAACCTAGTGATGGCTAATGTCTACTGAGTCCTGCATCCTCAAGGTGTCAAATGCACTCCATACATTTACTCCTTTAATTTTTAAAATATCTTGTAAATCAGGTATCATTGTCATTCTCCTTTATAAATGGAAAAAATAAACCAAAGCTTAAATGAAGTGACCCATGATTCATCCTTGATGTATCTAAGACCAAATTCCAGGTGCTCACCATGAGGAGATTCAGTTGGCCTTCCACATCCATGCACTCCTCATGCTTGGATTCAATCACCTGCAGATCAAGATACTAAAAAAAAAAAAAAAAAAAAAAAAAAAATTGCACCTGTACTCAACATTTACAGACGTTTTCTTGCCATTATTCCCTAAACTGTACAGTGTAGCAACTATTTATATAGCATTTTCAATTTGTTAAGCTAAAAGAATCTAAAGATGACTAAAAATCCAAAGAAAAATGTGCATGTGCCATTTTACATAAGAGATTGGAACATCCAGACTTTGGTAGCCATGGGGCGGAACAGGAGGCTTCTAAAACCAATGCCCCATGGGTTCTGAGGGAGGACCACTGTGTTCTCTGTGTGTATGTCTGAAATCACCCTATAGTCAACACTCGGGTGGGAAAGTGACACTGCTGCGTCCACCTGCCCCTGTTCTTTATTTCCCTGAACCTTCTTTCTCTGCTTGCCCTCTCCTTCAACTCTTCCCTCTGTTTCCTTTTCCAAAGGCAAATACGCCATGCGAGACCTGGTCCACAGGCTTCCCGGAGGGAACAACAGCAACAACGCAGCGAGCAAGGCCATGTCCGACGACACGGTGACCGCCGTCTGCTGCACCCTGCACGAGGTGATCACCAAGAACATGGAGAACGCCAAGGCCTTGAGGGACGCGGGAGGCATCGAGAAACTGGTCGGCATCTCCAAGAGCAAAGGAGACAAGTACGTTGGCTGGTGACGTCCCACCTCCGCAGGGGCAGAGTTGGTTCTAAGTGTGCCAATGGCTAGCACTATTGATTGTCACTCAAAACCATTTTTCTCTCATAGTCAAGGAAAAACAAAAAAAAAGGCAAATGGTTTCCAGTTTTCCTTCCTCACCGTGAAAGCTGATCTCACTGTGAATTTTGATTTGATAAATAACTTGTGAGTGGGCGATGGCCAAGAAATTGGAAAGGTAGAATTGACATTCCAACCCTCATGCTAGTGTGTTGCAAGAGACACTCGCTTAACCTGGAGGCATGAAGGACTCTTCTTGTTACTGTCCTTGTGTGGTTGCGAGTCCAGGCACTGACGGACCTGTGCCCCTTCAGCTCTGCATAGCAGCTCATCACACAGCACCGACCGGGGAGAAGACAGTGAGAGGCAGCCAGGGTAAACTCAGGCCCAGCCCACCACCCCACCTTACAAGCTGTGGTTTGGGACAAACCACTTAATTTAACAAATCGTTATGCCCATATTTTGCAATCTAAAGCTGGGGGGGAGCTGTATAATATTCTTCCAGAAATTACTGATAATCAAGCCCAAAAGGATGAGCAGAAATTTCCTAGCCTGAGGAAATGGCGGGGAGAAGGGAGAGCTTTCAGACAAATGGAATAAAAAGAGATAAGACGGGGTGTCAAGCAGCTGCACTGCCACAAATGGGAATGTTTCCCTGTGTGATTGAGGAGCCAAGGGTATCTTAGTGTACACAACTAAAAAATATCTCCACCAGCCAGGGTGCTAGTATATCAGAGAGCTGTCAATTTTTACAGAAACCTGCACCAACCTTAATTAAATTTTGCCTCCTGGAAGTCCCTCAGTGTAATCAAAGAAGATTAAAAGGGTAAACCTTTTGTTATTAAGGGTCTGTCTGCTTCTAGACTTTTCATTCCTTTACATCTAAATGCTAAATAATTTTTCTTTCATTATTAGAAACTGTGAGAAATGCACTTGGAGACTTTTTGGAAATGCTGTCTCATTATTTAACTTAATTCAAGATGCTACTAATGTGTTTCAGAGATTTCACTGTTTCTGTTTTAAGCACCTTGAGAACCTATTTGGAAATAGGTTCGATCAACAATTCAGCATTAGAATTTGAATACTTTCCTGTACCAGATAGAGAAGGCTCACGGGACTCATGCAATAATGGTGCAGATTGTTGGCTTGAATTTTAACTATATATGGTTGGATGGATAGACAAACAGAGATGCTGTAGGACACCCTCCCCATCTGTACTGCATGATGACTTGTTATGCAGCAATGAAGGGCTCAGAGTCAAAGGACATGGATCCAACAATACCTAGTCTTGCAGCCATGCAGGGACAACAACAAGATAACCTGTAGGTATGTATGTAAGTAGGTAGGTAGGTAGATAGATAGATATCTCATAATGTTATGCATACTCTGCAGGTATGTGCTTTTCTTTGCATAGATTCAGTAGGTGCTTGGGATCTCTAGTTGGAGTGCACAGAAACACTCTAACATTTTGTCTACGTCCATGAGGCATTCAAAGATTGAAGTACTTTCTCTGAATTTAAAGACTAGGGAGTTTAGGGAGTGATACTCCATTCCTTCCCGTGAGCTTCTCTACAGCAATGTGCCTCACTATTGGAACCTTATAGAGAAAAGATGCTTGACTCAGTTCTATGGTCAGAGACAACTGTTAATCAAAACTACTAAAAATCATTTGAAGAAACTATCTGTGATACAGTATGTATACTTGCTGCCAATACAAAAAAAAAAATGGACCTGTTATATCTGGTCCTAACTTGATTATTACTAATGGGAAGGTATTTTCACTTGAGATGATCTCACAAATGTCCTTTAATTTGACTAAAATTTTCTCCATGGCACTTGTCCTGTCTCATTGTTCCTTGATCTTCTTTTTAATGTCAACAACCTGGGTTTCTGAGTTGCATAAGAAGTGTTGAACTGGAATGAATTATGTACCTTTTCAGTTGTATTTCTCCAGCTTAGGAAAGCTCATCCACTTTTCCATGTTGCCAATTTTTTAAAATATATATATATTGATTAATTGAGGGGGTAAAATAAGGATTTTTATAATTCCTCATTTCCTATCTATCTGCACTTCAGTTTTGTTATTCTTTTCATTGTCCAAGTGATTCCAAGAGAATTGCTCCATATTTTAGCATGAAACTCACTCAATTCTATCATGATAGGAGTCATTGAGATTCCCATCACTTTCTAGCGATATTTTAATAAAAGAGAAACTTTTTATTGACAATAGTTTTTTTGGAATTGGGAATGATTTCATAACTGGAAATTATAGGAGTATCAATTCATACTAGATAATTAATAAAATACTTGCAAAAAGTCCACCCTAAATTATTATTTAAAAAATTACTTCCAAAAATAAATTTAGTGTATATCTGATTTTTATTTGAAATAATATTAGGAGCCACAGGCATTAAAAGCATGCCTAGCTATGATCCTCCATTTTATATATAGATCTGTTTAATTTCTAAATATATGCAAGCCTAAATATGCAGTGATATTAACCAGGCTGGTGAGTTGGCCATCACTGTGTGATTGCACAACACTCACTGAATCTTGGAGCACAACCAATGGGACTGGGATCCTGCTGCTGGCATGACTGTTCAGAACAGTCACCCCTGATTTGACAGCTCTGGTGAAGACCGGACATTGTGTAATTGTTATTAACTCTTGTAAGAGTCTCATACTCACCATTTTGAAGTCTTAATATTGTTCTTTTCACATCATTTTAAACACCCATCATGGGCATTCCATCATGTCTATTTCAAAAATAATATTTTTTTCCCGCTTTTAACAGTTGTATAGGAAATAGCATTGAATATATCTGTGTCTTTTGTCACAAGACAGAAAAGCTATTAACAGTCTCAACTGTTACTTGTCAGAAGAGAACTCTGTATTGTGGCTTGGGTTATAATCACTTGTCACATTAAAAGCACTCAATGTTCAAGTCCTTCAATCAATACTCATCATTTTTCAAGTAGAAGTTTATATGATACCAGTCTAGTGGATGAATCGAAATTAAAGTCTTAAAAAGAAGGCAATGTTTCCTTTGACCTTCACATATTATTATAACACTATGATGTATTGGCATTTTAATTAAGAAGTTAAAAACTGCTATTTGTTACGCATCATAGTCTCTTTCTATTTTATAACTAGGAAAGAAGTGGAACTTAAAAATTGCACTGTGTCAGAGAAATTTTTTTACTGAATATTTCAACTACACTATTACTACCTAAATTTTAATATAGTTTCCTCTTAGGTTGCTTAGCCAACAGTGACAAAATGCAACAAAACATAACATCTAATCTTTGTTCAGCATTGATTATATAAGAATGACAGGTACCTTTATCTGTGTCCACAAAAAGGCCTAAAATCCTGTCTTTAAGTCAAAGGAATTTAAAATTACATTTGGAGCACAATACTATCATAAATTTTGAAATAATTTAGCAACAATTCATTTCAGGAAAAGAAATGTTAAAAATTGGAATTTATAGAAACTCTATATTTGTTCTCTTTAATTCCTTGATGTAACTAACATGGCCAAAGTTGAATTTCATCTCAGTAATCATAGCAATGGCTGTTACACTTGCCCTTCAGTGAATGGATGAAGAATCCTCAAACTAGGTTGGTCTAAATGACAAATGTGAAGACCTAGGAAAATAGCAGCCACTTTCTTCACCGTGTATTGGCATCCCATAATTTCACTGTATAATGCATATCCCCAGAATATCTATTTACTTCTGCTCTCAACTGAAAACTCATCCTGGACCATCTACCATCTTCCTATTTTGTTTCAAATACTATTTTATTTCAAAGGCATCTTTGGTTTTAATTCAGATATCATTGCTAGCCACTGCAACCAGTCACCTTCAGGAGTGGTTATCACATTGGAGTCTTCATGAATGGTAACATCTTGCCGAACACCAGGAGTCAGCATCCACATGAGGCAGGAGTCCCCTGATTATCGACCATGGGCCACATCCTACCAACTGCTTGTTTTTGATAAATCACATTTATTATAACTCAGCTATACCTATTTGTTTAAATATGACTCTTCATGTTTCAGTTACAGTTAAGTAATTGTGACTAATATCATAAAATATTTACCATCTGACCCTCTGCAGAAAAAGTGAGCTGACCCCTCAGATTGCATTTCCTGTCTTTCCTTTATCAGACACTCTCAGATAGACTCTGTAATGATAGTCACTAAAATAGTGCTCTGGTTGTGAAACCGGCCTGTTAGTATACAAAATTCCTGAGTGGATTAACTTAGATTAATTCCTGAGTAGCTTCCATGACCACAAGTCAAAGTGACTTCCAAGAATTCAATTGAATTAAATTGACAGGAATCTATTAATCTAATTTGTGTTTTGAGATTCAAATTGGCACTGAACCTAAATCAAAATCTCTAGTTATATTGTCATAGGTATTTCAAAGGCATGTCTTTGAACGCAGTTAACAACTTCCTGTCCAAATATTTCTGTGACCTTGGTTTCTCCCTGTGCGCTATGGTCCAGAGGCCAGAACTTGAAGTGCAAGTAAGGCATTATAGATTCTTACACAAATGTATTCCTCTGCACCCAGTCAGAGTGTGCCCACTTCAGCATTCACTGCCTATGGCCTCAGCAAGTGTGTAGTCAATGCTGGTACGCTCTCATGCCCCAGTGGGACACTGTTTTATTACCAGGTGTTCCGCAAAACTGCCATCAGAACTCCTGAAGCTTGTCCTTTCTGATCACTGTTACTTTTCTTTCTATTCCATTTTGTAGTCAAACACTAAGTCTGCATTCTGACCACATGCCACTGTTCTTGTGTTTGCATTTTTAAAAACTCTTTCCAAATTGTAATTTCTTCCTACCCGTTACCCTCATGGATGTGTGATGAGACCACGGATGGGGACTGGTACAAAATTCCTTTGCAGTCCCCAGGCAGAGAAGAAAAGAGCCAACAAATCTGGGAGGAAGTTCATTTTGACCTCTGCTGACATGTCAGGGTCAGTGCAAGCCCAGCTACCACTCTGATTGCATTTCCTGTCTTTCCTTTATCAGACACTCTCCAAAAGTGGTCAAGGCTGCATCTCAGGTCCTAAACAGCATGTGGCAGTACCGAGATCTGAGAAGTCTGTACAAAAAGGTAAGGTTTGCTTTACCTACTTGGCTCAGGAGCTTCACACAGGCTCTGGATCCAAAGACTCAGTATTTGGCCATAACAAAAAGCATCTCAGATATGGACAGCACTAGTCCAACAGCCTCAGTAGCCAAAATGCTACTGAAACAAGATCGTCAATGAAGATGCAAAAACAGGACCACCATGTGTCCCCTAAATACACACCAAGATCCATGAACCTTTGGGACTGGACAGATCCACACCCAGAGAGTCTTACCCAAAGTTGTCTTTTTTGTTTCCATAAGGGGTTGTGATTTTTTTAATTTCTAATTAATGCATAGTAATTGTATGTATTTGTTGAGTACAGTGTGATGTTTCAATACATGTATACATAATGTAATAAGCAATTCAGGATATTAGCTTATCCATCATCTGAAATATTTCTCATTTATTTATGGTGAGAACACTCAGTATTTTCTCTTCCACCTATTTTGAAATATGTAATATTTTTCATTATGCTAAATCACCTTACATAAAGAAGAAAATAGACATATCTTCCTACACTTTTGCATTCTACAATAGACTAAAATATAATAAACTCAGAGAGTTTTTTTGGCAGGGGGGAATTATTAACAAGTTTCAACAAATAATTTTGGAAAGGAGACAGAAAAAAATTACAAAAAGCAATTCAGGCAGTCCAGTGTCACAGCCCAGGAACATGGATGTGAACTCCGTCCCCCAGTGTGGCCCCTCCCCCTGGCCCTGAGAACCTCACTACTTTAGTGCCCAGAGGGAAGGAGACAATGGTCTAGTGTCCACTGGAGAACTCAGAGGGGCTTGGCCTTGGGGCACTAGGTCTGCACACCTGTGCAAGGTAGTAAGCGTTCATATCGTGCCTCTGAAGAAGTCTTTACCCACAAAATAATTCGAAATTAAACCTGAAGAGAAAATGCCACATCTAGAGATTTTGGTTCTATGCCTCATTTCCAAATGCTTCTAAATAGAGGGTACTTTTTCTTTATTTCTTTATTTTTTTTTTTAGTGGGAAGAATACTTTAACAATATCTTCTATAAGTTGTTGTTTTGCCAAGCAAATGTGGGCAGTTAAAATTTGAGCTAGTGAATGGGAGTAGAGAACATGGATATATACAGGAAGAAAGCAGTGCCTGGATCCGATGGGGCTGGGGCAGGGCACAGGGGCTTCCAGGGCACCTGCTTGGCAGTGTGGGGAGGGGAGAGAGCCAAGGTCATCACTGCCTCCTTTGCACCCACCAGCTCCTTGGGCCGGAATGTGAGGCCTCTGTAAGGGTCTCTTGTGGGGAGTGAGACCCATCTTGCCAGTAAAGAATTTTGTCTTTTTCTAAACCAATGGGAAAAAGTAAATATTTAATAACTGGCTCTACTAAGTTATAGTCTATTTCTAGATTTCCTCAGGGCCCTCCTACTTCCCTTAAGCATCCATTACTTTGCACTTTAAATTGATAAAGTTTAGCTTACATATTTTTCTTTCAAAGTTTTCCTATTCCCCAAGAGGTGGTGTGTCGAAGTTAAATCACAGATAACAAAATTAAGTGTTGAGTGTTGAAGATTAATTGCATCCTTTTCTTAGTATTTTGCATGTTAGGAGGAGCAAATGTTTTGGATTCTGTTCTGTTTTGCTTAATATTCAGGTCCCAGCATCCCTTCTGAGTTCCTCCCTGGACTCCTCCAGGAGACAGACTCTCTCCCAGGAAGGAGTCCTTGGGCTAACCAGGCAGCCAGACATGAAGAACATGTTAGAAATTAGAACGAAGCTGGTGGTTCTGAGTCAGTGGTTCCAGAAGCTCAAAGAAGTATTACTGCCTCAAATAAACCACTTTCCCTGGGATCCTCCGTGCCTCCTCTATGCACAAATGCACCTACCTGCTCATGCTTTTGTGCACTGGAGGGGAACAGCTTTTAAAGATGCTGCACGCTATTTGTTAAATAGGAGTATGGGTTTTCACCTTAGTTTTTTCTTTGTTGGTAGTACAGTTCAAAAAGTGTAATTGTCTTTCTATTTCCATGAAAATAAGAATGTGTTGACAGGAATTTAATGGACCTTAAATTCAAAGCTAAAGAAAGTTTAAAATGTGCTTCATATGGGAAAATTCAAGAAAGATGGGCTAGAGAAATAAATGATGATATTTTTAGTTGACCCATGATTTAAAGATGTTTAGAAAGAGCTATTGTTAATCATTTCCAAATTATGTGGTTGTGAAATGAAATGAGGACCTTGATGCTCAATGTCATAGATGCTGTTAATAGCAAAGCTCAAAATTCAAAAATCTCTCCATTTGAAAAAGTCTTTGGGTGAGAAAACCAAGCTCATTTATCCTCATGAATTGTTTTAATCATCAGGGAAGTGATCTCTCTTGTTCTTCATTGACAATTTACATATCATCAGAAAAAGGTCAGATTCATATCTTTTAACTACCCACATTTCAGATTTCTTTATTAAACACCTATTATGGGCTGAGCAAAGGAAGAGTTCCAAAGGAAACTTAAGATTTGGATGTAGCCACTGTGAGTAAAAGTGAAAGATGGAACAATTACTGGAGATTTTGTTAGATCCTGAATTATATATTTCAGGTTTTAAAGAATTAATTAAGGGAAGGAAAATTATAGAGCAAAGTCTTGAAGAATGTTTACAGTATGCATAATTAGGAGGTGAGAGGTAAGGGAGTTATGGCCAGAGGAAAACTATGAGGGGGAGATGGAAATTGGAAAGACAGCCATGTGTATCGGGGACAGAACTCAGACCCAGGCACAGAGATCAGGGACTTTAGTTCTAGCTTGTCTGCTTTATTATTTACCTCTTAGAGAACTAATGGGCTGGAATATTCTTCAGGCTGGGTGTTGTTAATTCCTATGTTTGGAGCCCAAACACATTTGTATTCTCTGACCCTCTACCTAAGTAAGACCTGGCCTTCTGGGTTTGTTCCCCGCAGAGAAAATACACCATTGCAAAGAACCTTATGACATGCAAGATAAATACTGTGTCACCTTTTTGAAGTCCTTAAGTTTAGGTAGCCACAAATAAATCTGCAAAACGACTTTGTCACCTGTATCATCTTGGTGGCTGTTAGCCTCAGGAACTGTCTGCAGGTGGGGGCGAAGACGAGCAGGAATTCAGAAGAGCTTGTCTTCCCAGAACCTCCGAATGTCACTGACAACAGGAGGTGCTTACATTTGACCATGATTGGGGACTGTTGGAATGACTGGGTGAGCGGGAGATAGAATGTAGAGTTGGGGAACCCGCTGGTACCTGTCCTTGGGTAAATAATCTGTCAGATCATCAAGAAACAGTTCAATTGGTTGGGACCTATGTCACTCTAACAGAGTGACTCAGAACTTCAGAAGCTCCATCTAAACAGACATCTCATGGAACTCTCACAGAACTGCACCTGGGCAGACAGTGGTCTGGGGCCAGCGGGTGGTCCTTGTCTGTCTGGGCAGGAGAGGGAGAAAGGCAAGCAAGCAGTGGGGGAACTGCCGATCTCTTGCTCTTGCACCTGGGGCTAGATCTCAGCCCTGGAGCCGCATCCAGCTGTACAAGAGTGGCGGGAGACGTGGGCAGCCAGGACAGGAGAAGGAAGGCAGCAGTCATTTCGTTTTGTTCGAATATCTTTAATGCCAATTGCCAGTCTGACCTAATGAGAGACGTTATTTCATGTGAGGGCGACCAAGAGAGCCAGAACTTCTTGCTTACTGTAAGCACCGATCTCTTTATCTGCAGGTTTTTCCCCTAAAGCCATACTGAGCAAGTCTCATTTTTCTTCTCTGTGTTGGCCTTCCTGGTTTTCAAACTGACCTCGGTCTCTACCAGGCCATTCCTTCCCAGACATTGCTGACAGTCTCCAGAAAACTAAATGACTTCTTCAAATGGCCTATGGCAGTTCTCCGAGCAGAATCTTCTCTCTAGGTGGCTGGACATGGCCTCAGGGTACTGGAAGTTTGGAGGCCTGGACCTCCATGACTCACTGCCTTCCTTCTGCTTTAAGAATTAGAGATATTAGCACTCCTCAATCCCTGCATCTAAAACCTCCCCAGCTTCCTCAGAGACCAAGCATGTCTCCTCAACCCAGCCCCAATCTCCCAATATGAAGGAAAAAGTGTAGCATCTTCCTTGCTGGGTTGCTGATCGTCTCAGGTGCAGCAACAGCAGTCACCAAAGGGCTCTGTTCACTGGGAACTCATGTGCCCATGGACATTGCTGCTGCTGATCCAAAACACTTGTTCTTGCCATTTTGCTGACAAATGCTGTCCCTCCCATCCTGGAGTTTTGAAGCTGAGGATTTTATTTTGTCATTGTCACCATCACTATTCATTTCCACCAACATTTTTATGGCTTATTTCCCCTTTGATTCTTCTACCGTCTCCTCCTATCCTCAGACACTGGAGCAGTGCCCCCTTCCCACAATCTGTCTCCTAAGCATCTCCGTCGGCCATCCATATTGACCAGAGTCCCAACAGGGAGAACTTTGCATGGTGAGATTTAGGTAAACCAAACCATAAACAGGTTTTATAACATGACAGCATAAGTAATTTCAGAAGTATTTGGTATGCTTCCATTTCATATTAGTGCTGAATTTGTGTGGGGATGGAGGAGAAGGTCAAGTATGCTGAAGACATATTAGACTGGGGGTCAGGGTGAGGTCTAGGGTTAAATAATTCACAAGTGCAAGCCAACCATGTTTCCTTAGTCAGAGGCTCTGCTGTGATCCTTTGAGCTTCTAGTTTGAACACATTGTGGCAAAATAGTGTCATTCACAAAAAGGATCTTCTCCTAAGTACTAGGACAATCTGTTTCCCATTAGGTCTCATGATCCCCATCCCACCTTCTCCACCCTTTATGGGCTCCTCCCTGTTCATTTCTTGAATTTTGTCATCCTCAAGGACCTGATGCTTGGAATTTTCTCATATCATGCTCAACTTCTTCCTGGGTTATCATAACTTTCTTCATTGATTCAATTATCAACTAAATGTTGTGGCTTCTCCAATCTATTTCTCTAGCCCCAGTTGCTTTCTGAATCTCTAGCCCCCTGCTATAAAAACTTGCTCAGATGCAGCATCTGCAGCATCTCCCTGAATCAGATCCCAGACAGGCCTGCTTCTCCTCGAGTCAGCTCCTCTTCTTGCCTCCCAACCCCAGTTGAAAAGCAGCACAGCTAAACTGTATCTCCTGATTCTCTTCTCTCCTTCCCAGATCAGCATCCAATCCACCAGCAAACCCCAGATTTCTGCTTCTGCCCTCTTCTTTCTGTACTCATGAACAGTTGTCTCCTATCTCTGGATTTTGGTTCCAGTCTCCCAACGAGGCTTCTTATTTCAGTCCTACTCCTCACCAACAAACTCTCCAAAGGGCAGTCAGTGTGAACTTTCTAAAGAGCAAATCTGAATTCATGTCTCCTTGCAGCCACAACATTCTGTGGCCACTGTGGTCCTCAGGAAAGAGTCAAATATGTCAGCAAAGCCCATGAGTCATTTCAGGAGTGGCCGTGGCTTCTCTCTGTAGCTCTTCCCTGCTTCCTGCCAGCCCTGACCACCACCGCAGCTGAGCGGGGTTGCAGGTCACTCTCCATCTCCACCATCCTCCAAGCCTTCCCAAGTCCATACTCCATCCAATTAGCCCATCTAAATCTTCATTCTCCCTACATTTTTTTGTATCACCTTCCTTGAAAATAATGTTTCTGACCTCTCCTTAGCTCTGAAGTAAGGTCACTCCTCACTAATCTGAAATAATTACATAGCAGATTAGTTTGATTGAATAAAATTGTTTAAATTCATACTTTGAAAGAATAACTTTCAAGTATTAGGAATAGTTTAAACCTACAGCTAACATGTTACAGCCTAAGCTGTATTTGTATTTTTATTAGAAAATAATTTCATTTTGGGTTCAAATATTTATTATGGAAGAATTCGCAACCCGAACTTATGTTGCAAGTGATTTCCCCATGGAAATTGCAGTGGAATTTGTGCCCAGCTCTGGTACAATTAGTATTCATTCCTAATTAACAGTGTTGAATTAAGGAACATCAAAAATAGGTACCAGGCAAAATTAAGAAGTACTGCCTGAAAGAGATTTTATTCATATATGCTAGAAAATAGAAATGCAGAAAATGAAATAAATGAAGGTAACCATAACTATGTCTTAGGCAAAAACAGATGTTTTTGACTTATTTAAAATCATAGTTCATAGTTTATCTCAACTACTTCGATTATTCTGTTTCCCAAAATTCAAAACTCCACTCTTGGATACCAGAATATATAAAGATACAACTCAAAGTTTAATGGCATGGAAACTTGACATTTATCTCATCCCCAGCCAATATGGATCTCTGTTTTATTGGTCTTCATAAGGCTGTAGGTCCATAATCAATTTAGTTAGCCTTCCAGAATACGAATTCAGTGACAGACTTTGGTTTTACATTTTACCTGGCCCTCTTTACTTTCAAGGTATTATTTATGTAGCAGACTCTTAAAAAATGTAAGCATGTTTAGCACTTGGTCTCAGATTTTGTTGTTGTTCTTTCAGGAAGTTTACTATTTTCACTTAAATACATTTTTTGAATTCTTTATTTAAAGCAATTTTAAATTTAGGCAAAATTAAGAGGAAGGTGTAGAGATTTCTCATATACCCCTGCACCACATATGCATCCCCCACCAGAATGGCAATTGTTATAGCCAGTGCACTTGTACTGACAAATCATAGTCACATAAAATTCATACACTGCATTAGGGTTCACCCTTGGTGTGGTGTATTCTCTGATTTTGAACAGATATATAATGGCAGGTAGCTCTCATGATAGCATCATACAGAGTATTTTCACTGGCCTAAAATTCTGAGCTTCTGTTAAATCTGGACAGATATTTGAACAAAATTTTAGGCTTTGTATCAATGTCTTCCTTCAATTTTAGTAAAATAGAACTGTGCTATTGTTTGATTATTAAAAATGCAAATAAGACCTCATATTCACTGTCACATTGAAGCAAAATAACTTTTTGCTGAAGAATGACAACCAGTGTACGTGAACGTTTCACCAGTGAATCATTCCTGCCTGGTGGTGGGTGGGCTCTAGGCTAATTTGCCAGCCAGGAGATTCCTTGTCTCTTTCCATGACATCTTTTTGGTGTGTGATTTCTCCCTAAACTGGTCGGATTTCAGCTCCACACAGCAGTGTTTTGCTCTCCCCAAGCTTCAACATTCACAATCTGGACTTGGAGTCTCAGTGGGACTTAGCTGGGGCCCCTCAGCCACAGCTTTAGGAATCTCCAGAAGCCCTAGCTACCCAAGCCCTCTGGGCCCTCTTGTGTGATTCCATGGGGACCCACCCCAGGGTAACTGATTTACAGGGCAGTCATGGAGCTTCAGGTACGATGAACTCTGCTCTGCCTTCCGAGACACATACTGGTTCATCTGAGATCAACTGGAAGTAGTTATCAGTCAGCCCGACACCAGAGTAAAAATGCCTGTGAGCGTTGGGTGCTGAGAGGGCAAGCGGTGTGTGGAGACACCACCTCTGTTCTTTCGTTCCTTTGCTTCTCCATGAGATGCTTCCTAGAAACACGTTTAAGCCTTTGAAACAAACTATTGTGTTACCATGGAAGAGACAGGCCAGTCCCTGTTCCAAGTGGCAGATGATTTTTTCCAGCATGTAGCCTTCTGTTACTGAGACTCATGTGTTCCAAGAAACTCAAAGTGCTTCAAAGAGAACAACATCGACTCAGCCTCTCCATAAGAATTAAAACCCTTAGCTCATAAATGCAGAGATCGAATCCAAGATCAATCAAACATCAGAATCAAACTCTTGTTGACAGTCACTGGGGTTAGAAATCAGATTATTCTAGGCCTGGGGATTTTAGGATCCTGCCCCTTCCCCAGTGAAATGTCAGCATTGTGCACAGTGAGTTGCTTTCTCCCGGAATGCCAAGCTGCCTGTCCTGGAAACTGGGTAAGGTCATGCTTCTCTGAATAGCAATATTGTATTTGCTATTGCCATTTTGATGTGAGAAACAAAACATAAAGCTAATCTTTAGATGCCCTTCCCTTTATTGTCAGGGAATACAGACTCTCGGATGGCACATTCCATTCAGCCAGTGAATAATGAGCTTTGATAGAAGTGAAGTCCGTGCCCTTCACAGCCTGTCTCACACAGGACTCTCTTTTCTTCCTGCCCTGCTATTCATTTCATTGGCTTTTACCACCATTGCACTGACAAAACAAGAAATCAATAAGTAATTATGGATAGGTAAGGGAATGCCTACAGGTCTCCTCCAGTGTCCACACCACAGCAGGTGGGAGAGTGAACCCAGCCCTTGAGTGGCCTCCTGCTGCCTGTTCAAGGCTGACCACTGCACATAAATGAGCCAGGAGTCCTGTCCCTGCAAATTGAAGTTAATGGCTCGTGTCTGACATTCCTTCATCAGCCTGGTCTGCTGGGCATTTGAAGAACACCCCTAGTTTGTGATGAAAATCAGAAATCTATTTTGAAACATCATCAAGGAAAAAACACAACAAAGTTAAAATTCGAAGTTGTGATCCCTAAGCTTTGCAGTAAGAAGAGTGAGACATACTTTAATACTTCCTTCGGTATGTACCATTTTGAGAATTAATAGATTTTACTCTCTGGGTATCTAAGATAGTCATGGAAAAGCACTAAATCCTCTGTAGAAATAAATTAAACTGCTAAATGCAGAGCCGTCATTTTATCAGGGAACCCTGTTCACCAGGAATTTATTAATCTTTCAGCAGTGCTGAAAAATTCCTCACCAAGAGATGACTAGAAAAACACAAGGACTACTAGCCAGATTCTAAAACATCCCCAAGGCTGGAGCCCTCAAAGTTCACAATTGTAGTTCCTCTAGTGTTTTCTTTTCCAAACAGCTTGATATGAAGTTAGGGTAGAAAATGAAAAGGCTGAAGTTAAACTCGTCTATAGTACTTTCTCCTCCATAAATCTGGGCATTTACTTGTTGATGTTTCTATTGACAATGAAGGTCTTTCTTCATGAGGCCCCCTGACCTCTCAGAGAGAATTCTCAGGCACTCATCATATGATATCTGTCCAAAAACAAAGGCACAAACGGGAACAGAAGCAAAAATCAATTGTGCAAAAAGTGGAAATCAATGCACCCGGCAGTTGCTAAACGAGAAGTGACTCAGTTGTAGCTATTGCTGGGACAGGTCCCCAAGTCAGGGAAATCCACATAGCAGTGCCCAAATTAAACATTTCCCCTATAATACCACTCTATTACAGAGCTTCGCCCGTGACAAAAATACCGAAGAGACAAAAGACAGAAAAAAATGATTGCATCAGTAACTAGAAAACTCAGGAAGTTTAACGTAGGCGTACAGCATACGTGCATTCTTGTGGCTTACTTTGTGTGACCACGTCTATCTTTCCCACTCCGTCTTCAGTGGGTACCAGTAGATTTGGGGATGTCACCTATGAGAACCTCAACCTGGCTGAATGCTCCCCTCACCCTCCATTTCTCCCTCCCTCTCTCATAAGCTGTGTCTTTACCCTTCCCAATGCCACCAACGAGGTTAGACCAAGTGGGAAAGGAAGCCACAGTGAGGAGACCCAACCTGACCAATGCAGCCATATCCTGCTCTGGTGCATTTGGGCTGTGGGAGATGTCCACCGGCTAGCTCCTTCTCTCGTGAGGGCAGTGGTTGGTTTACTGAGAAGTGCCACCTGCTGCTGAGAGCCTTCCGTCTGCTGCCTGGCCTGGGCCCAGCCTCCTCCAACTGCTCAGAATTCTGCATCAGCCTCAGGCTTCTGCTTCTTCACTGTATATAGACTGGTTAGATACAAATTCTGCGCTCCTGTAGGTAACATAGTTTTGGAAGTCCTGTTTAAAAAGAAGAGTAAACTTTATGATTATAAAATTATTTAACATCCTCCGAAGGAGCCCATGCAGTGGGAGGACCTAAAATTTAAACTTCTTGTGCTACACTGTCAATTCACCTCTGACCCCAAATCATTCTGCCAACATTACTTAAGACACCAGCTCTGGCAACACCCAAACTCCAGGGAGCCCATGGTCAAGCTCTTTAAGAAGTTTGTCCCCTGGGTTTTAGGAGATGAGGTGTGGGGAATACTCAGCCACTGGCTACCTTCATGGAAGTGCCTCTTCACCCTCTAGAAAATTCCTCGCCTATTCTTAGACCATATGAAAGTGGGTCACATGCTAATACTGCAGAAGCCTATTTGGTCTGCCACTGTTGCAGCTCTGAACAAATGCTCTAGAACTGTAATTAGAGAATAAGGGACCATGGAGTCAGTGTGGAAAATCACATTAACACAGGCCGCAGTACCCTGTCAGTTCTGTAATTATCTACAAGTTTTTCATAATGCTAAGTCATTATGGTGAACAAACATGACTCAAAGGAAGTTAGAAATGGATCACCCTCTGGATTTACTTCCTACTGCAACACTAACAAATTACCGCCAAAAAAAGTTAAAAATACCAAAAATAAGTGATCTTACAGTTCTAGAAGCCAGAAATACAAAATGGGTTCGCTGGGCTGAAATCAAAGTGTTGGCAGGGATGCATTCCCTCTTTACATTCTCCAGAGAGTTGCCTTCCTTATGTCCTCCAGCTCCTGGAGGTGGCCCGCATGCCTGGGCTGGTAGCCTCATCCTCCATCTTCAACGTCAGCAACAAAGCACCTTTGAGTCCCTCTCTGTGCTTGCATTGAGTGCCATATTGCCTTCCCCAGCTCTCACCTCCTGAATCTCTCATGAGGAAGGACCTGGTGGTTGCAGTGGCCCATGGCATCCTCAGAATGACCTTGTCCTTTGAGATCTTAATCATACCTTTGGAGTCCCTTTTGCCATTTAAGGGAGTCTATTCACAGGTTCTGGAATTAGGAAAAGGACATCTTTGGGGCCCATTGCTCAGCCCCACACCCTCTCACATGAGAGTCTGAGTGTAATAGTCAAACCGTGAAATAACACCTCTTGGAGTCAGGGGTTGGCTTCTCGTTACCCGCTGCCTTCACCTCTAGAGTGTCAACCTCATCTGCAGTGTTCACGTTGACCCTCAGTCTGTCCACATAACAGACAACTGGAAATGGGCCAGGAGCACGTGCCTTCTTCTTTTGGAGACATGCCACCAGCTCTAAATCATGTGGCAGATCTCCCTACCTGGGGGCCTAACCAAAAGCTGAGTGTTTCTATTACAAGGTGGAGTTTTTTTAAAAGGTTACTGACATGTTTACGCCCATGATGTGCATGTTCTGTACATAACAACACCAAACTCCTTGACTCTCAGTGCCCAGTTTTTATCAAAGCACATTTTTGGAAGATCCCACTATGCTTACCTCTCATTGCAAACGGTTCTACAGGAGTTACCAGTTGACTTCAACTTTGAAAACCAGCCATTTCCATGACTCCTTAGTCCTATTCAGGAGACCAGTGCAGTGGGTAAAGAAGAAGACCTGTAAGTTTCCAGATTATTAAAAAATAGTCTTGCACAATGCAAAGAGCATCAGTAATGTCAGAGGAAGAAGCGAGGTCATAGGATGTGGAAACATGTTGGATTTTTCTTTGTTTCTACTCTCCCCATCTTAGCACACGGTGCCCTTGGCAGGTTGGCCAAGTGCCTGGTGGTAAACCCTGATGAACCCACAATTCTCACACATCCTCTGAGAGTCACTTATGCTAATTGCCTGATTTAACCAGATGACAGATTTACCATGACATACATAGCATCAAATAATGAAGTGCATCAACTGGGCTTCCTCTATGCCATTCTAAACTATAGTACCCCCCTTTTCTTAATCTCCTTGTGTAATATCACATGATTCCTCTTAGTCATCCTCCCTGTCCTAGTAGCAAATGACCACTTCTACACTCATTCAACACATATCTGTTGAGTACCTACTGTGTCTTTGACTCTCTTCTAGTTTCCCAAAGTGAACACATCCATATTGCCTTTCCCCAATTTCATAAAGACAATCCTTTTCAATCATTATTTCTTGATTGTTTTACTTTTTATTTTTACCAGGCTCTATTCTAAAATAGAAATGTATTTTTATGCCATCATGGCATGGTTGTTACCAAGGCTAGACTTTCCCTTCATCGGTTGTTTTTGCAAGAGGCTATTGCTGTGGCCATTTTTAGACACTCATTCCTCCCCCATTTCTCCTCGGGATCTATGCCTGTCTCTTTCTCTATTCACACTTCAATTTAATTAAATTTCATCAGAAGCCAACTGTTAGGTGGTTCTGAGTGCTGATTGAATAAACCTCCATTGTCGCTACCTGGGAGCTTAGGCACTGCAGGGGTGCATTCAGTGACTCCTTCCCTGTCCACTGTGGGGCATTCTGCAGAGACCTCAGATTTGGGACCCAGGTCTTCATCGACCCCTCATGAGCATATATGAAAAATACCCAGTTATTTCCAATGTCAAAGTGACTGAAGTACTAAAAGCCAGACATTTGGATTTGTGAACCTGAAGGCAGGACTTCGTTCAGTTGCATCCCAAGTTCAACTTTGCAGTATTGATTGGGACACAGAAGACAGAGCCAAAGACCATCCATGTCACATCTTTGGGTCAAAGCCTCTAAAGTGACAGCAGGGAAGTCAAAAGGACTAATTTGGTCTTGTTTCAACTTTCCAAGCTCTCCCCTCCCCCGTCCTATCAGTATAAATGACTAATTTGGGGCAGTTAACAATGATATTACTTTCTTCAACTAAATTGTATCCATTTCTTTCCAAACTGTCAAATCTTCTTGGTGAAGTGGGTTCTTTAAGATTAGGCCAACTGAATTAAATTGAATTCATAAAATGAATTTACAGAGTCTTTTTGAAAAGATGTCACTACAGAAGATCCTCATATATACTGTACCTTTAAGTATCCAAATCAATTTAATTAAATTTCATTAGAAGCGGCAGAGCTGAAACTAGCTAATGAAAGCCACTGGCATGTCAGGTGGTATTTATTCCTGCATTAAACTGCAAATACTCCCTTTTGGCCCTTAAAATTTAGTTTAAATATTTAACTTTAATGGGTTTCGGAATTGTTGATGGAATTAGCTTAAATGAATCTTTAACAAACAGTTTACCTTAAAAATAGATGGAAGCTTGTTTTATTACAGCCAAGAGAAGCTGAAGGTTTCACTGATATGCAAAATTGCCTGGGTCTTCAATTACCGGGACTATGCATGGGAGTATTCTGCTTCCATTTTTTTTCTATTTAATAACCTTTTATTGAAATAAGGACAATGTATAACTACCACTAATTTGGAATATTTTCTTTCTCTGCTTAATGTGATTACATTAATAGGTTTGTACACTTAAAAATGACTGGCAACGGGCACAATTTTGAAAAATCAAGTTTTTCGCATGTGAGACTAATGTCTTAGCTGGTTGCCTCCTGCAGGGGGGTAGCAACAATTTATGTTTTAACTTTCATTTGAGAAACAGGTCCCCAAAGAAGAAATCTTGTTTGTGAGTGTAAGTGACGAGAATAAGCAGCGAGGCGGACTAGTAGATGGTCTTGGGTTGCTAAAAGCCCAAAGGATTTTCACCATACTTTTCTTTGTATCTCAAGTCACTCAAAGAAAATTAGAATTGACAAGCTTTATGGGCTGTAGAGCCTTCAAGGACAGCTAAGGGGAAAAACTTGTATTCGTTACTTCAGCATCAAATAGTTTCTGTATGCCCACTGAGAAATCCTTGTTTTGAGGCCAAATAAATCTTACCAGATTGAGGAAGTTCCAGAGCTGTTTACAAACCAGGGAGGAAAAGGCCAGTGACCGCACACCAGCCACGGTGTCCTAGGGTCTGAGCCAGAGTCCAACTCATGTCCCCAGTAGAAATGAAAAACTGTTGTCCACGGTCAAGGTTCATTTTTTACAGAAACTTGTGTCTGAGTCAGAGATGTTCCTGATTACAAGGAAAGATTGGCTAAATCTGACTTCTAAGTATTGAAGTCCAGCAGCCAGAACCCACTCTGAGAACAGAATTGTCAGGGGTATCATCAACATTTACTTCCCTGACTGTCCCCCAGGCCACCTTTCACCCCAGCCCAAGGGGGTCTCTAAAGCGTGTCTTCTTCCAGAAGGTGAAGTCAGAGGGCACCAAATAAGTGACTCAAAACCCCTTTCCTGCCACTTGTCATCTCATTAGTGAGGATTTGGTATATAATCCCTTTTCTCTCTGCCTGATTGCCAAATCCTCCAAACCTTCATTCTAGCAGCCCTTGAGATATTTGCTCTTCTTTGTAAACTCTTTATTGTGTGGATGGAGCCAACTTATTTCCCTGGGGCCTCTTCTCCTCCTCCATCTGGTCCTTCTCCATCCTTTCTCTGACTCAGCAGGGTGCCAGTGCACTCATCTGCCCACCTGGCGGTAACAGGATGTTCTCTGCTCCCTGGGGCCAAGTGGGATTCTGTACCCAATCCCACACAGGTGTTTCTCTTCCTGTCTCCCCTACATTCTCCCCACCCCACCCCTCTCGGTGACATGCTCTATCAACAAGATGATGTTGTTGACAGGAATGTGACTGTCGTCCTTTTTCCCTCCCAGTAATGTCAATGTGACACATTCAGGAAGCAGCCCCTTCAGGTTAGTGGGCACATTCTGGTAGGTGTGGGTGGCTGTACCCAGTCCTGAAAGAAACTGGAGCATATCTAACAGGAAATGTGATATGCCCTCCCTTCTCATCCTTTTCTCCTGGTGCTCCTAAGGGGTTTGAGGATGGAGACCTGTCTGTGAGGCTGTGGGCAGGAACTGGTGTTTTCTGAGCGGCAGGATGCAAGAAGCAATGGAGATGGAGGAGCTGAGATGCGTGCCCTGAGAGATGTGTTTGGAATCAGCACCAGTCTGGGGCCAGATGTGCAGATATAATGATGCTTCAAAATTATTTTCAAGATCCGGTAAGGAGGAGGCAAGTTCATTTGCCTCACACTGAAATATGGGCAGCTGAGAGAGATTACCACTTAAAATGGAGCAGGCAGGCTGCGGCCCCGTTTTTTTAAAAAATATTTAGCCTAAACTAACACTGCCTTGAGCCCAGCTGCACGTATGACATAAAAGACAGATATTCCAACACAGAAGAGGATTCATCTGATGAGGTTACTCTAATCTAAAATTAAGAAAATATCATAAGACTGTCATATTTATTCAGTATAGAATAATAGACCTTAAGAACAGTACAGGCTATGTGTAAAACCTACAAAATTGCTTAGCATTTCCTTTCACAATAATAAATGCCATCATATCAAATCCAGCTAGCATTTATTAGGCACCTCTGTGTTCCAGGTATTATACTTGGCACTAAGGCTTCATAAAGAGGGTACTCACCCTTCCTGCCCCACAGCTGGGGAGACAGACAGGATGGCAAGAGACTTTCCGGTGATATGAAAGCATTTTGTTAATCGTAGGGAAAGAAAACCATAGTCACGTGACTTGTACGTTCCCCCCAAGTCTCAGAGGCATCCCAAGTCTCAGAGCAGTGGTGATTTGATGGACATCTGCTGCCTGCCTCCTGTTTACCTGGCACACAACTGACCAGGTAAGAGTCAACAGATACAAAAGGGGAAGGCACTGTGCTCAGTCTCAGGGCTGCCTGCTGAACAGGGTAGACATGTGAAATTGAATCACACAGTCAGCGAATACTGTGCAATCGGGTGTGACTGGGGCTCAGTGTGTGTGTGGCAACCTGAGGTTGTGACCTATTTTTGACTTTGTAGAAGTCATCCTTGAGACATTCCACATGGATTAGGGGCTGAATGACTTCCTAGGAATTAGTGTTTTAAAAACTTGTGTGCATTCCAACTAGTAATCTCCTCCACCTGTGCAAAACCTCCAAGCCAGTAGTGTATGATCACAGGGCTTTGCTAGTACCAACTCTGGAGAGGCAGGAACTTTCACCAAGAATGATGCCCAGGCCCTTCCCAGAACAACTTAAACAGAAGAATCTCCAGGGCTACGGCTTAGGCATTACTCTTTCTCAAACTCCCCAAGCTCATGAATCTTGTTGCCCTTAATTTATGGAAGAGAGAAAAAAAAAAAAACCCTGAAGCTCTGTTTACAGTGTATATACTGAGAGGAAGGGGTATATACATTGTAGATGTATATACCCCTTGTAGATGTCTAATCCCACTTCTCCAGCTACAGGGACCCCTAGGGTAACACCCTGAGTAGGGGAAGCATATTCCTGATAATAATTTTGAGCCTTGACAGACTGCTCTAGCTCATCCCTTGCACAGTTGAATTGAATGTCACAGTTTCCAGAGTAAGAAGCTGTGGGCTAATGTGTTATCCTCAACAGTCTGAAAGCCGCTTAGACCCTTCGTCCACACTCTGTAAGTGGAAGAAATCTCTCCGTAATAACATTCTGCTTGAGATGTTTACTGGGTACTCAATAAATATAATATGGAGAGTATTATAAGTTCAGGAACCTAAAACTCAAGTCTGTGAAACCTAATAGAGTGGCGGCCGCCTAGACCCACCGTGAAGACCCAGTGGTTTTGAGGCTGTGGAGTGTGCATGAACTTGACATTCGGGCACTCCGCACCCTTGAAAATGCCAATGGGGTCGACCCCAGCTTTGGGGAATAATAAATTTCATAAAGAAACACGTCAGAAACTTTGACACAGAAGCTAAAACTGGTGGAAGGACAGTAAAAGGGTAAGATAAAGAAAATCAGATGATTCCTGGTGGCAATTTAAAAGTTCAATGACTTTGAACTCCTCTTTAGATTTCCATCTCTATCTACTTGGAGCCATTTAACAGCCTCCAGTTTTAAGTTTAATGTGTTAAAAATAAAAACCAATTTGAGGCGCAGATATCATATCACATTTTTGACAGCTTAGCTGGGTCTTGAGCTGGAGGGCACAACTTCTGGGTCATTCTGCTGAGCCACAGATGTTGGAAAAGTTCCTTATCATCAACATTGAGGATTAACAGCCCTTCCCTGGTTACTGTGCCTATTCTGAATTCTCTGGTTTTCTTCTTTGAGCTTTCTTATCTAACCCCTGCAAGCCAGAGAGATGGTGCAAGGGGGGTCTAAGGCCAAGCACCCAAGGTACTAGAGCTCCAAGAAGTTCTCTGGCTGACAGTGAGTTAAAATTTTAACAAGAAAATAGTGATTAAGGAGGCAAACAATGATCGAAGATACCTGTCCAAGTGGCACGTGTTTACATGAACCACTTCAAGCCTTTCTGAACGAGAATGGGAAGGAAATGATTGGTATCGAGCTGATCACAAATATGTAAGTGGCTAGTGGGACGGAAAGAAGGTTAACTTAACAACAACTTTCCCAAAGAAACTATCTCTTCATTTCCTTTCTTATTTAGAAAGCCAAACATTGTCTTTTAATTGACTGACGCAAAATTTCATATAATAAAAGGAGTGGAGAGCCATGAAATTCATCTCACAGTAACTGATTCTTCATCATAACTCTTTGCAATGAGCACTGACTAATCTGTATCCTAGGCCAGCTGTATCCTGGTCTGGCATCCAGTGGTAACGCTGGCTTCTGGGGCATTTGGAAATAGGTACATTCAGAAGCTGAATTTTAAAGTCCCTTCCAGGCATGGTTGAATGCAGCAAAGTTGAAGTCCGACAGTTTAGCCAGTGAAACGTCTACCGCATCTTGGACCAAGAGGGAAAAGGGAGCGGAGCCCCTCTTCTTCCTGCTCCTCCTGGAGCTCCCCTGCTGTGGCTCAGGAAATTGCCAAATCAACATCCCAGACTGGGTTTCCACAGCCCTGCTCCTTAAGCTCCCCTCTCCCCACCTCCACTAGGAGTTTCTGTGCCCACTTGCATGGCTATGTGGGAGGGGTCTGGCTCAGACTGGCATTCTCCTCCCTGCCTCTGACCACCTCCTCTCTCACCACCCCCAGGTGTCTGCTAATCCCATCAACCAGAGACAAGTTACCTGCCAGGTCACATCTCTGTCATGCATGAGCATTTTCAGGATTGGACATTATGAAGGATTTGAAAGCTGTGTGTGTGTGTGTGTGTGTGTGTGTGTGTGTCCTTGAAGTTTTTTCATAAGCAGTTTTATACAGCCATTTTCCTGAAATGGAAGAACTTAGAGGGGAGCAGTGTACCCTAACCCCATGAAATTTAAACTGCTTCAGATTTGACTGAAGCCATGTCCTAAGCCATGACTTAGAACCCCAAGGTGTACCTTCTAAATTGCAAATGAGACCAACATAAAACGAGCTGCCTTCATTGGGTCATATTTAGGATTTTTTTTCTTTTTGCTGTCAACCAAGCATTCCCTTCAAAATGAAAGATTATCTTATCTAAACAATTTTTTTAAATCATTCTCAAATATGAGTAATGGGTACATACACTTTCAAAATATTTTTCACCCTGCACATGTTTTCGGTAAACCTGTCCCTTCCTGTCATGGACGCCACCCTCCAGAGGATCTAAGAAAAACCCATAGGATTCCAGTGGACACATTCTCTCCTCCTACCACGGTCCCTACCCCTTACCATGACATGATCCTACCGTTCCCTGAGGACAGTTTACACCTTTCACCCTTCATTCATTAATTCAACTGCCGCCAATTTCCTGAGCCTTCTGGGTCATCCATCAACCTCGGGCTGCCTCCACAGTCTGTCTTGGTCCTACGCCTTCATCTTTAACCCCTGGTGTGCTGGTAGCGGCCCCTCTATGTCCATTACCTGGCTGCTCTTTCTTCCTCTTCTTGCTCTGACCCTTAGAGACCCTGGGGACTTCGCCCACCCTCTCAGGAGGTAGCTGCTTCCTCTTTCCTCGACTCCCTCACCCCATGTCACTGGCCCTGGAGGTGGGGTAAGTGCCCTCCTTCTCCTCATTGCTCCTTTGAGAACTTGGCCTTCTCTCCTCTTTTAAGAACTCCCAGCATCTGGGAGGCACCCCCACTCCCGCAGACTCTGATCCTTGTGGGATCTCCAGTCCACTAGCTAATCTCCACTCTCCATCCCCTCCCTCCCATCTTTATTTTCCTCTCTACCCGGCTTAGTTCCATGACTTTCTCTTGTCCTTGTGCCTCTCCAAGTTGCATGACTGAAAACCTCCATCCACCTTTGCCCACCTGCCCCAGAGCAGCAGGATGTGGCTGGGGAAGAGCAAAGGACCACGCTGACAGGTCGCCTCATTCTCTAGTCATTGCTGCACACCTCAAGTAGTGTCCCCGCAATCCTTCTGCCCACCCTGGCCGCCCAGCGCCTGACCGTAGCCAACTTCCTCCCCCCTCACCTCCCAAACTGTTCCATACCTTTCTTCTCCCTCTTCCATCCTCCAAACTCCAACTCATCCTTACCTTCAGCAGACGACCTCACTTTTCATTTTCCCTGAGGAGAGAACGTGCTCGTCCTCCGTCTCCGCATCTCGCCATCTCCTTGCTGCATCTTGGCTGGAGAGCCTGTCTGGCCTCCCTCCTGTTCCCATAGCCAGTGACCCCTTTGCTCACTGAATCCCATCAGCCTATTTCCTCCTGTGATCTTCTCCTTTCTCCCCTACGTCACCAGTTTTTCCCTCCTTGATGTTGAGTCATTCTATCAGCATACAAAATGCTGCAAAATCTTCCCAGGGATCTATTAAAACACCTCTTGATCCCTCTCTCTTCAAGCCCCATTCCTCTGCTGCCCTTTTATGGTAGAATTGTGCCACAGGCTGCCTGGATTCCCTGTCTCTCCTTCATTAGTTCTCCATTATCTTTTGAGCCTTCTTGAGTGAGACACAGTCTGGCAGAATCAAGTACTTTTGTTCCTATCATGATGGCTTCCATCTCTCCAGGACCAGTGGACGTGCTTGGTTCTTCTCCGTTGATTGGCCTTCTCCTCCTCCTTATGCATCTGATCTCCTAGTCTTGCTGACATTACACCACTTTGTTTTCCCCCCAGCCCACCCTGTTCCTGCTCAGTGCCCTGAGAAACACCCCTGACTCCTTGCACCCTCTAAATTCTGGAGTGCCCCAGGGCCCACCCGGCTTCTGTCTCCGGCTTTCCTGTGTTTCCATTCAGATAGATGGTTCCACCCATTCTCACATATGGTTCCACCCATTCTCTTGCTCTGAATAGTATCTACATGCTCAACTCCAGAATTTCTTCTCTAACCCTGACGTCCCTCTGGGTTCACAGATTCGACTTGATGCTGTAGCCTCTGTTCCATCTCTGACCCAACCTGTGCCAAGGTGCTCCTGGTTCCCCTTCTACTTCTCTCCCTGTTCTCCCTCAGTCAGTGGCTCCTGCCATTCTGGTTCACACCAGAAGCATCGGGGTAAGACTTGATTTCTCTGTCCCACACTCTTTGGAAAACCCTCCAGCACAGAAGCAAATCTTCCCTTTCTCCCCAGGCGCACCCCATCTGAGTCAGTGTGGCCTTTCCCTCTCTCTTGGTGAAATTGCAGCCTCTATTCTGTTCTCTGTAAACTGTCCTCGGCCCAGAAGGCTTCTTGCTGTCCTGGTCCCCTTGCTCACTCTGCTCAGTCGCAGGAGCCTTTGTTCTCACGTGGGTCAGACCAGTTCCCACCAGCACCTTCACCTCTGTTCATCCTGGGACTTGGGGCCCCACCTCTGTCCTCCGTGTCTGACTCCTGGTCATTCTCCAAAATGCTTCCTTGACCATAGGCCACTCAATAGCCACACCAGCACCGACCCACCACACTCTCTCTCTTCACCCTCCTTCCCTTCCGAGTACTTGAAAGTACGTCACATTTTAATATTAATGTTTAACTTGCTTACATTTTGACTTTGGGAGCTGTCTTGACTTTGTAAGGCTCAAGTTCCTCCTCTGTAGACTGGGGAGAATAATAACATCCAGATCTTGGGATCGATAAGAGGATCTTGCACCATCGTAAGTACCCAACAGTATCTTTTAAAATAATATACCTCTAACCTGAACTTCATCCCACCATTCAAATAAACAAGAATAACAAAAGTTTGATAAATGAAGAGACGCAATAGCAAAATGAGTATGAATTGTGTTTTTATTAATTTTCATCTATTGATATTTTCAATGATTCTCGAAAAAGCATTGAATTCCCTTAAAAGTCTAAGTATTATCCAAAATGAAAACCTGAAAGAGTTGCAAACAGTTGTCTCTGTGAAGCAAGAATTGGGAGCAGGATAGAGTCCTGCTCTTCTTTGTTACAACATTAATACTATTGGACACTTTACTTTGTAGATATATAGTTGAGTTTTAAGAAGAAAGACTGGAAGGAAATACTGGGACCCATTAACAAGAGCAATCTGGGGTGGAGAAGGTGGAATCACCAGATGTTCTTTCTTTCTTCTTTATGTTTTCTAAGTTCCCCAAATGATCCAGAATGTATTTCAATACATTTTTTAAAATCATATGCATGCTTTTCATATATGAACTGGGTATTAAAAGGCTAATGGAGGCTTGGTAGGATGCATTTGGAATATGCTCCAAAATTTAAAATCTGACTTCTGGGGCACCAGGGAACACCTAGTCTAGTGTGGATACTTAGCAGCAGCTGCTAAGACCTTGAGACAGGCAGGGTTGGGTATCTGTGGCGGAGAAGAGGGTTAGAAACAGGGTAAGGAAGGTAAGTGGGAAGGGAGGACGCCAACCTAGCATCCTGATTGCTCACAAATCGGTCCTGAGAACAAGAGTAATCACTTTGGGGGCTGGGAATGTGGCTCAGGCGGTAGCGTGCTGTCTGGCATGTGTGCAGCCCGGGTTCGATCCTCAGCACCACATACCAACAAAGATGTTGTGTCCGCCGAGAACTAAAAAAAAAATGAAAATATTAAAAATTCTCTCTCTCTCCTCTCTCACTCTCTAAAAAAAAAAAAAAGAGTAATCACTTTGGGAAGATTTGGAGAGAGGAGGCAGGCATGGCCAGAGACAGGTAAACAAAGGATAGACTTTTTCAGGGTCGTCTGACTTTCTGAGCATCATATTTGCATTTAATAAAAACCTCTAACCAAAGCAAATTTGCAAAGAGACTATTTATTCCACATCTGGGAAGGGAAGCAGGCACTAAAAGCAGGGGCTCCCAGCCAGGCTGCCTGGAGGAGAAGGGGTGTGTCTTAATTCACATTCCCTCTGTTAACCTTGATGATGGCCAGGAGCTCTGTAATCTCCTTTGACATGCTGTAGAAATGTTCTGCAAATTCAAATGCTTAGAACTTTCAAATGTCGGGAGGTGAAGGATCACTCTGCCTTCCCGTTTAATAGGAGTACGCTGTCTTTTGCAGGATGGATGGTCACAATATCACTTTGTAGCCTCATCTTCAACCATTGAGAGGGATCGGCAAAGGCCCTACTCCTCCTCCCGCACACCCTCCATCTCCCCTGTGCGCGTGTCTCCCAACAACCGCTCAGGTAAGAGGCTGCCCAGGGCCGTCCCAGGCCTTGGTTCCCCCTGAGCAAAGGCTCTTCCCGCAGTCCCTCAGCTGAGATGCACCCGGAGGGGAACTGCCCCAACTTTGACTAGGAATATGAAATGCCTTTGTGTTATGTAAACACATATTCAGAGCAAATTCTCTAACAGGTTCCCATGCATAAATGCCTATCAGGAACCTGCCTTCAGAGAGGAGCAAGTGTGAGGAAGACTGTCAAGACTGTGCACATCAGGATTTTCCATGCGCAGTTTTTGAAACTTAGTCTGAGTTGCATTTTCTTTATTGTAAATGGGATAACAGAGTAGAGGACACGGGATATACTGTTTCTTTCTTTGGCATGAGATATATCTTGAGGGTCTCATAATTATTGTGTGTCCAGTTGGCTTTTTATTATTACCTACAAATCATTGATAAATTCTTACACCAAATTTTAACTTGTAAGTCATTCCATTTAATTTTCTAATTTTGTCACATTCCTCTTGCTTCAATTTTGAGCTTGATTCATACATTTATTTGTGAAAGTATTTTATGTTATACCACTTTTCAGTTGTTTGAAGGAATGCCAAAGATTAGATGGAAATATACAAGGTAAAATACGAACACCTTGTATAATAATAGAAGCAGCATGGGTTTATTGCTCTTTTACCCAAAGTTCAAAAGTTTTTGAAACTTTTCATTTCTGCGTTTTGGTTTTGTTTGGAGAATGAAGGACGGACAACAATTCTATGCCCTCACCAACCCAGCTCTCCTGGCTTCCGCACATGACTCCATTTCCTTACCCTCCCCAGCCCTCTCCCTGATGAGATGATCGTATTTCTGAAAGGATATTCTGGAGACATTGGCAAAAAACGCTGCCCACCAAAGTGGCCTCTCCACCCCGCGGACAATTGCAAATCCTTACACTGGCCCGTCAGAATGACGGAAAATCAGAAACCAGGGGGGAGCTTTAGACCGACACAAGGCACCCTCTCCAACCCGTGAAAGCTTCTAGGTCCAGCCTCCCTTGAGGATTGGGAACCCCTGTGACTGGGGACACTTCCACCTAAACTCACAGTGCAGAGGTGGCCTCTTTGTCTTCTTTTCCTACAATTCTGGCAGGTTTAAAAGGATAAGGAGCATGGAGCCTGGGAAACATAAGGAAAGTTCAGGTAGAAGTAAGGAAGATAAAGTGGCCTAACAGTGCGTAGGCCCCCCTCAGGAGCAGGCAGGGCTGGGGACGCAGCCATCCACCAGTGCCTTGGCATTTCCTAGGCCAGGCACATCGAGACACCTAATAAACACTTGTTTGCATGATTTGATTTTTCCCAGAGCTTAATCCTGATTTACTGGAGACTCAAAGCACCACTGCGTCTGAGGTCTCCGGAGATAATTACACACTTGACGTGGTTTAATAAACACCACCATCTGTGCAGTATTAGACTCTAATTTTAAAAGCTTTGGTTAAGAAGCTTCGAAAAATTATCCCTCCGTGATTGCATGGCAGCGGCTCCTCAAAGGGCAGCCACTGCGTAGGAAGACCCAGAAGCAAAGCAGGAAAGAGAGAAAAGGAACTTTTCTGGAAAAAGACAGGGTGAGCAGGAGAGAGAGAAGGGGGCAGAGGGTGACGGAGGTGAGTGAGGCTCCAGCAGAGGGTGAGGGAGGTGAGTCGAGCAGAGCAGCTGACGTTCTGAAAGAGCAGGAAATGGACAAAGCCCAGCTGAGCTAGGGGCTCTCCGGGACTTCATTGTTCTTGCAGAGGTCCCCCTTTTCGCTTCAGAACCCCAAGTGTTAATACGATGCAGCCACCTGTTACCGAGCTGTGGCCTTCTGGGAAACCAAGGCAGCAGGAAGACCCGCTTCAAACCCCAATTCTTGTGATCACGTCAGAAAGATGTCAGACCTGCCGCTCAGAGTAACAGGAATGAGTTGATTGAGGGGATAGGAAAAGCGAAAGGCGACACTCTCAAAGGAAAGAGTAGGTCCTCAGAGAGGAGAGGGACAACGTGCCTCTCCTGCACTCCAGTTTTACTGGGGATCCGTGGAAGTTTCCAGAGAGCCCACGGAGATCCACCTCTTCCCTTTTGACTGACAGCAGGCTGACATCAGACTTTCAAGTCCCCGCTGTCATGGCAACTGTGGGTCTCCTTGGCCCAGGATGACCCCTTCTGATTTCTTACAGATTTTATGGTTAGGAGGAACCATCCTTGTCTCCCAGAGTTTCAGGATCTGGTCACAAAGGTTTCCTGGGTTCCTCCTGTCAACATTATCTCAGGCCTGCGTTTCTCCTGCAGTTAACAGGTAGCTTGCTGAGGACTGTGACATGTCCTGTCCACCGAGGCCAGGCAGGGCTGCAGGTAAATTGCCTCTTGGAAAAGAAAGCAGGTGGGGGTCAGCTCAGTGGGCCCGTTTTATGAAATTATTCTCTTAACCTCCTGTTCCGTCCATGAGGGAGCCACCATGTCTCTCTCCCAACAGACCAGGGTCACTTGCCCCCAGGTACCCCAGGATGAGCAGAGATGACCTTGATTTTGCTTTCATCAGTTTTTGAGAAGGTCAAGGGATTTTCAGGGAGGGAACTCCTCTTCAGTACTTGTGCCTCTTGTTCTGGTGTGAAGCACCCACTTCCTCTCTGGCTGAGAGCTCCCAGGATCAGGAAGCTCAGTGGCTCACAGCTCCACCTCTCAGGGGCTCAGCAGGGATTTGCACACAGAAGATAAATAGTCTGACCAACAGGATTCAGTGATTCAGTGAAAAGAGAGGTGCATGGGGGGCAGGCAGCCCCTGCGCTGGGGCTCAGGGACCCTGCACATGTGAACAACGTGCAGAAAGGTAAGCAGGTTGGCTGAGAAGGGGCTTGGCCGCTGGCAAAGAAGACTTGGTGCCTGCCATCAGAGTTCCCAGGGAGTCCTACCCTCAACCGTCCCCAGGCATGGGTTCCGAGGCCCCTTCACTGACAACTCAAACAAGCCAGGCCCAGGATCAGGTGGTGGAATCCTAAATTCTCAGGTGTTTGGGTTAAGGAAGATGGTGGGGCACTGCATTAGGGTTACAGAAGACCTGCATGCAACACCGATGGCCCACAGGGGGGAGCAGGACTGTCCCCAACAGAACACCCTGCTGCTGCTCCTTCCCTCCTCCTCTCTGCACCAGCCGGGCTACTGGGTGGCTACCAACCATTCCAGCTCCCACAAAAAATTGACCTTTTGGATTCACTTCTTTGCCTCCCAGTTCAACTTTCCCTCTGCTTTTGGTAGCGGCTCACTCCCGGGTCCAACAGGAAATGAGTGGCTGGAGGGTTAGATGTGTGAGGGACTGACATGATGATCATCCAAGGAGCTGCAGCAGAGACACCCCATCAGGAACAGAAGCTCTCTCAGCCCTGGCCCTGGGCCACCTGGAGAGAAGCTTGGTGGGCTTGGTGATCTCAGCCCCACAAATCTCCCCACGTGGACGGTCGTTTCTTCTGCCTTCCTCGAGAGCAGTTTCTGATGACGTCGACAACTCAACCTTTAAACCAAACTGCATTGTTTCTAAACATGGGTTCTTCCTTATCAGTACAGGTTGAATATGTTTTGTTCAAAATGCTTGGGACCAGAGTATTTCATATTTCTGGATACACACACACACACACACACACACACACACACACACACACACTGTGGTATATATCCAGAAATATGAAATACTCTGGCCCTGGCCCCAAGACAGATAGGTAGGTAGATAGATAGACAGATAGGCAGATAGATATGGTATATCTTGGAGATAGGACTCCAGTCCAAACATGAAATTTATTTATGTTTTATATATACTTTACACATATAGCCTGAAGGTAATTTTATGTAATATTTTGAATAATCATCTGTTTTGACTGCAACCTATCACTTGAGATCAGGTATGGAATATTTCACCTTAGGTATAATGTCAACACTGAAAAAGTGTTTGATTTTGGAGCACTTCAGATTTTTTAATTTTGGGGTTAAGGATGCTAAAGCCAAAAAGGGGGAGGGGAGGAGAAATGGAAAGAGGGAGAGAGGGAAGGAGGGGAAAGAAAAAGAAAGCAAGACATGTCTTCATTCTTAAAACTGCCATGTACAACCTCGGGCAGGTCCTGTCTCTACCAGGGAAGATGGTCCCAGAATGTCATTTTTAAACACCTGCCTCTAAGCCACACCTCTCACCAGTTGTCACAGAGTGAGGCAAAGTGATACGTTCAAGAGCAAAAATCACCAAAAACTCTCAAGAGGCCAAGCAGAGATAGGGGGCCCAGGTGGAGCCGTGTCTTTGTGGCCTTAACTGCTCGTGAAAAGGCAGACATGGTTTGGAATGAGATGCCAAAAAGACCATCCTTCTCCTTTCTTCATCTAGCAAGTGCCCCAGCTTCACCTCGGGAAATGATCAGCCTCAAGGAAAGGAAGACGGACTACGAGTCCACCAGCAGCAACGCCACCTACCACGGGACTAAGGGCGAGCACACTTCCAGGAAAGACACCATGACAGGTGGGTGCCCTGGGACCTCCTCCTCAGAGCAGGGGACCCAGGGACAGGGAGGGGCTGGGACCTCGGCCGCACGCCAGGCTTTGCCGCTCAGGAAGACCAAGTGGCTGTTGGGTCACTGGAGATCTTGATGGCTGTGATTCCCAGAAACGGGAACTGAGGAGATTAAGCAAAGATATAAAAACTGCGCATCTTAGAGCTGGGAAGCACTGAGAGAAAATGTCCTCTACACACTTTTAATCTCACTGTTTCCTTCTCACCTTCCCAGCTTATCCTATCCCCTCCAATTAGAAGGGAGAGTCAACACCTGTTTCTTCTTTGTGGGCACGACCCCTGGTGGGAGAGATTCCAAGATGCTGGTGGCTCTATAGCTCTGCTTGCCGGTTAGGAAAGGAGGGGAGGGAGGAGCATGGAGAGGATCAACTTCAGAGAATCCCCCAGAACTCCTGTAGGAGGCATTGTTTCCTCTTGTCATGAGGCCTGCCTCATTCCATGGTGGATGGCCAGGAAGCTTCATTAGAGCCCACTCCTGGATATACCCAAAGGACTTAAAGTCAGTATATGACACTGACACAGCCGCATCAGTGTTTATAGCAGCTCAGCTCACAGTAGCCAAGCTATGGAACCAACCTGAGTGTCCTTCAACAGATGATGGGTAAAGAAACTGTGGAATATACACACAATGGAGTATGACTCAGCCTTCTCCAGGGTTTCCATAAATCTCCTTTCCACTGGTCCTCCTTTAAGAAGCAGGACAAAGAATATTATTAGAGAGGGGTTTATACTTTAAAAGCAGAACTTAACTTTCAGAGCTGAGAGACTCTAACAGGGGACCCACATGCTTCTTTTCCACACAGACATGGAGATGGGTCCCTCTGAAAATCAGTCATGAGCAACAGGGCATTCAGAGAGCATGGTTATATTAGATCATTCATAAAACTGGACGCAGAGGATGCAATTCTAAACCAAGACCCTGTTATCAGAGAAATCTTGAAAGCAGGGGCACATTTCTCTGATATTATTTACATGCAGACCTGCAGGGAAGCAGAATAGACAAATTGGATGATTTATTAAAATGTCCTCTAAACCCAGGACAGCTAAGATGAATTTTCCTAATAGCAAATGTATTTACCCCAGTGGCTGTCTTTTCCACTTTAATTCTGTACAGCCGCATAAAGAAAAGCATAATAAACAGATGTTTTCACCCCCACTCGGAGGTCCACGTTCTGCCTCCTCGGGCAGACCCTCCCAGGGATACGCCCTGTTTACTCCTGAAATGTCCTTTGGGTGGGATGACCGAGCTCATTACAAGGCCATAGCTTATTAATCTCCTTCTCTGTTTTTCCCCATAAATGTTGCCCCTGTCATAAACGAACATGAACAAAGAAAGCCGTGAATCTGAATGTTGAGTCCCTGGAGTGGAGATGTTCAGTGGAGAATCCAAGTGGTGCCAACCAGTCTGCATGAGTAGTGGCACCTAGTTCACCTGACCCATTCAGTTTGCAATGATTATTGTGCCAGGTGGCCACATGGCCAGAAGTCTGGGACAACAAATTGAGATGATGGTTCTAAGAATAGTTGTGAGATTGATTGTAGTATCATCATTTAAGTTTAGTGTTGCTCTTTAGCTCTCTGGCCCAGTAGAATCACTCAGAAGGCTTTTAAAGGTGGGTGTGATCACACTGAAATAGTTCCAATGGTATATGATGGTGCCCTGCCCACCTAATAAGATAAAACATAAAATCTGGTGTTTCCCACATTCAGCCTTCCTAGGAAATGGCGGGGGTCTGGACAACTCTGGTATTGAGTTTTATACACATAAATCTTCAAACTTACTTAAAGGCTTAAACAGCCTTGCTCTAACTTACTTAAAAATGCAATTCAAAACTACACGATCAATCACATAGCAAGCCCATAACACTAAGATCTTTATTGAATGTGTGTGGACAGGGGAAGCTTCTCGGAAGCCAATAGGCCCGATGTAAAATCTAGTTGTTGGCATCACAAAAATGCTGGTGGAGGTGACTAAGAGAGCACGGTCATATTAGATCATTCGTGAAACTGGATGCAGAGGATGCAATTCTAAACAGACACTGAGAAGGGAGGGTGGGGGGGTGGGGGGGGTGGTTTGGTGATGAGGTGAGGATGGGTAATGAGGGTGGTGGAGGGGATGGTGTTGGCAAGGCTTGTTTAGGGTGACGCTGGTGGAGATATTAGTGGAGATGATGGTCTTGGTGGGAGGCAGGCTGTGGTGTTGGTAGTGAGGCTGCTGGTGATGTTTATCCTATTTTATAGACAAGTGAATAAGTCCTCAACCCAGCCGGGTGGGAGCCAGTATTCCAGACAGGAATAGAAGCTGCCAAGCTCTTCTCCGGAGCCCTTTGACCAATGCCTATAATTCAAGTATTTACCTATGAAATCTGAATTTTTCTGTGTGACCTCCACACCAAAAGCAGTATTTTCTTTTTCTCATTCAAGAATAAATCCAAGGGTACTGGGGATGTAGCTCTGTGGTAGAGCACTTGGCCTACCATGTGCAGTGCCCTGGGTTCAATTCCCAGGACCACACCAAAAAAAAAAAAATTGTAATTTAAAAATTAATAACAAAAAAAGAATGAATGCAAGGGACATGTAATTTTGAGTGCAGGGCCATCCTGCCGTTCCCCACCTGGGACCAAGCTCTGGGTTCAGGAAAGTCGTCCTTGGCCCAGCTGTCAGCTCCCTCCTGAGCTCTCAGAAAGCCAGGCCTCTGGGCTTTGTTCCTCACTCCCCCACCCCTTTCTGGGTTCATGTCTCACTGAGATGAAGTCCCTTCAAGTGTCTTCTATCCTGGGTGCCTCTGCCACTGAGGAGCCCAGGACCCCGCTCAGCTGTTCACTGAGGCGAGCAGGACTCTGCTTCTCGCAGTCACGGCCGCTGAGAGCAAGCTCTGGTGTGGACGCTCCCCGCAGGGCAGGGCTGCTGGTCCCTCAGCTCCTGGCCTGACTTAAGTGGATCCGGGATTCTGCCCTCCCTCCTGAGCGTCCCAAGTGCCGCTTCATCAGATGGTCTGGGCTGCTTCTCCCCGGCTCTCACTGACGCCTTTTAAAGCCTCTCATCTTCCATGTGTTGATTCCGTGGGAAGCTGGGTGTTTGGGGGATGATACAAAAAAAAAAAAAAAGGTGTTTGTTTAAGTCAGTTTTGCATCGCTGTGACCAAAGACCTGGCAAGAACGAGGCAGAGGAGGGAAAGTTTACTTTGTCCGTGGTTGGCCGACTCGATGGCTCTGGACCTACCGTGGGGCAGGACATCGAGGCGGAAGGTGTGGCTGAGAAAGCAGCTGAGGATATGGCAGTTAGGAAGGAGAGAGAGAGACAGAGACAGACAGACAGACAGACAGCTCTGCTCACCAGGGACAAAATAGAAACCCCAAAGCCTGCCCCGGGGACTCATCTCCTCCAGCCCCCCACACCTCCTAGTCCCTTCCCAGTTAATCCCAGTGAGGGGGTGAATGTGTGATCAGGTTCGGGCTCTCATAACCCAGCATTTCACCTCTGAAGGTCCTTGCACGGCCGCCTGGAGACCTCTGCTTCCTGAGGGCCCTTCAGCCACACAGTCCCGTCTCAACAGGGAGTGGGCCAAGAGTGGAGCAGAACTTCCAGGAGGGATAGCTTTCACTCAGAAACCACAAATCTAGTAGGAAGGGAGGCCGCGGCTCGACCAGGACAGAGGCTTTGTCCTCCCCTCTGCCCCGTCCAGGCGTCTCAGTGTCAGTTTGGAGGGACGTTTTCTGTCGGGGATCAGAGCTCTGACAGCGCTGACCCGCGGTTTGTGCCTCTCTTCATCCATCAGCAGATTGAACCCTTGCTCTGGGAGTGTCCCCTGAGGCCACACGCTGTGCCAGGCTCCGGGGGCGTGGACAATGGTGAGAACACTACTGTCTCTATCCCCCACGTGGGCTTCTGCGCTGGTGGGCACAGGCAGGCAATGTGCGAGGTCATCAGGGGACAGTCACCAGCAGGATCACTGCAGATGTTGAGAGGCATGAAGGGACTCCCTCACTGGAGCAGAGAGATGGTGGACGCCAGGTGGGAGGGTCCTTACCTGCCCTGGGCAACAAGGTGACACCTAAATAGCAAGAGGCAGCCGGAGTCTGGGGGAGGTAATTCCTAGAGGAAGATGGAGTACCGTCTCCCCGAAGCTGAACAAGCTGGGCTCACTCCACTGAGCCAGGAGGGACGGGCAGCCAGGGCCGCGTTACTAGAGAAGGGAGAGATGCCGCGGGAGGTCAGCTGGGGAAGATCACGCGGAACCTCGTGGACCAGGAAGGAGAGCGTCTCGAGTGGAGAGCACCGGGTATGGATAAGCAGAGGGAGTGACGTAATCAATCTGCCCAACAGTGCTCTCCCTGGGGGCTGGGAGGAGCAGACTGGGGGACAGGAAGCTGGGCCATCGGGGGATTTAGTGTCCAGGGAGAGAGGAGTGATGTGCATTCACCCAGAGAGGACGGCAGAGTTGTCTTTGAAGTCGAAGTTGTGCTCTCACCCTCGCTTCCTGAGCAGAATTTTCCAAGAGGAGGTTACTGCACAGTTACCGTGGGCCTGTGGGTAACCATCACGGGTGACAATGAACTTGAACCTGGATAGGCTGAGCAGGGCTGGGCCTCCCTACAGCAGCCTGGTCTCTGAGAGAGCAGGGGCCGTGCGATGGATTTCATTATCCCTTGGACCCTGGTGTTAGACCAGGATGCAAGAAAAGACCACTGACTCCAATTAAAATCAAATTAAAGCAAGCTTATTATTTTGACCAGCTGGGCTGCCTTTCCCACCCAAAACGGCGGGAACAAGACAGCAGCAGCAGCTTTCCTGCAGCCCAGCTTTATAGCCCAGAAAGTTACACAAAAAGGGGGGTTACAGGTAACAGAACTCTGACAAGCATCACACTAATGGTAGTTTACATTTTCGCTGGCCCCAACATCAGAATCTATGAAGGTCATTAGAGCCTCAGAGAGGGCTGCTGTCCGGTCAGAGAGCCAGGCATGGGTGAGTTCAAGGCACGGGCAGGCATTCCAAGCAGGTTCAGAATCTGCAGTAATTTATAGTAAAGTCGAAATTATTTTCATGGCTTTGTGGCGAGATGGCTCCCAATTTTAAGAAAAGTTCAGGTTAGGTCTATCACTGGAAACAAAGGCCAAGCCCTTCTTATTTCCAGAGTATTCTATGTCCCACTGACACTGGACAGACGGACTTTGTTGAGCTTTCTTCCCCCGTGATCCTTCATCAGCTGTACCCGATGGTAGTGCCTGAGCCCCTCCTGGGGGCCTGTGGCCTGCGCCTCAGGGTTCTGGGTAAGGAGGGGCACCGTCACCCACTCTCGGCCTGTGGAAGCTGCTGGCAGCTGGAGGGGGTCCTCCTCCTTCCTTTTGGCCACACCACAAGTGGGTGAGAAGCCAGGGGGACCCTATCTCTGCACCTGGCAGGATTCAAAGCCACAGCCCCCCAGATGCACAGGGGACATTCAGGTGGCACCGTCAATTGGTCCTTTGGGCTGTGGAGAAGTGAACTGTCTGGATGATGACCGAGCACTTCTGTGAGCCCAAGTTAGAAATGTTATTCTTGTCATTCTTCAGCTAAAGACTAAGCTGCTGATACAGACTGCATGCTCCAGGGCAGGTGACGAGCCTCTATTATCTACCCGTTCTCACCAGAAAAGAAGGCGATAAAGCTCTCGAGGTGGCGCCGTGTCTGCTGCACCTGCGCTGACCCTGTCTGTGCGGTGAGCAGTGTTGCCAGCGGCCCACGGGCCCGGGGTGTGGACAGCACCCCTGCTCTCTTTCTGCATCTCCCCATGTAAAACGAGGTCCAGGCTCAAAGCATCTCTCCTACTTGGAACGGTTCGCGGGACGCCCGGCTCTGTCGGGGTGAACTGGCCTCGAGAGCCATCATTCCTCGCTTGAGATCCTGCTTTCCTTGCTAACACTTTCCTTTTCCTTTTGTTTGTAGCTCAAAACACTGGGATTTCCACCTTGTACAGGAATTCGTACGGTGCGCCCGCCGAGGACATCAAACACAACCAGGTGAGTAAAGGCCACACCTTTCTGTGCGTCTTTTCCCATTGGACTCATGGGAAGTCACCTGGGGTCTTTAAGACCTTAACTTTCACCTCACATCATCAGAGACCGGGAGAGATGTCCCCGATGTCCTCTGTCACACCTGCCACAGCAGACAGGTGGGTGGCCAGCGCAGTGCTCAGAACAGCCTCAGATCCTAAAACCACTTGGGATTTCATGGCAGCTCTTCCTGACCTGCCGGCAAAGCAGGTTCTCCACCATGGTGCTGCGGGGCTTGGATGTGGCTTGTCCCCAGGGTTCCTGTGCAGGAGGCTGGGTCCTCTGGATGGCGGCATTGAGGTGGTGGGGCCTTAAGAGGTAGAGCCTAATGGAAGGTCATTGAGACCCTCATAAGTGATGAAGGTGGTTCTCATGGGATCTGAAGTTAGTTCTCTCAAGAGCAAGTTGTTTTAAACCAAGCCCTCTCCTCCTTGGGCTTCCTGTTTCTTCACGTGATCCCTCTCACACATGTTCTCCAACCATTGTCATACTATCCACCATGTGGTCCTCACCAGAGCCAGGCCAGTACCAACAACATGCCTCCAGAACTGTGAGATAAATAAGCCTCTTTTCTTTGTAACATTACCCAGCTTCAGGTGTTTCATTACAGTAACAGACACCAGACTAATATAGGTATAAAGCTAAAAGAAAATCCCCAGTAGATAAGTGTAAGGTGTCATTGGCTAAACAGAAACTGCCTAATTTCTGGGCAGGAATTGAATAGCTCCTGTAACAGAGCCAACTCTAATTAGGAAGAAAACATTCATTACACATGCTAGTTACCAATAACACAGAAACATCAAGTTCAGTCTAAACAACCAAATAGAAAGCACTGAACATGCCTTGCTGAGCAAAGTCTAGTTGAGGAACAGCATAATCTGCACCACCTGGGAGCTCATTACAAGTGCAGAACAGGGTCTTCTCTGGTGCCTTAACCCATTCCAGATCTTCTGCAGGAGAGCCGCATTCTAATAAGATGCCCCAGTGATTTGTGTGAACATTCCTTGTTTTAGGAGCTCTGAATTATAGACCCTGAACTAATATGAATCTGTAGGTGTTTGTTTTTTTTCAGCAAACATTCATTGAAACATTCATTGAAACATTCATTTTTTCCTGGAGTTCTGCAGGAACTATGAAAGCAAAGGGGCAAAGCTTGTGCCTCGTATTTGATTGACAACCTCTCTCTCCCTCCCTTGGTGGGCCTCACAGCAAGACCGACCCCCCATAGCTGGTTGCTCTTAAGAACTGTCAATAGGAACCGTTTCTGCTCATGTCTTATGTTCCTGCCACACTTCGGGAAAGTTAAGTTAAGAAGATGAGCCTGAAAGCCATGTACCAGTAGCCAGATAAAGGAAGCATGGAAGGGAAATGTGTAGGTTTGGAACAGTATCCCAGCACCGTGTAGGGTAGCATCTCCCCCTTCAAGCAGGTGCAGATGTCCTCAGCAGAACCACTTGGGTGGGAAAGAAGAACACCAGGCTGTCTCCTTGACCTTAAGTCATTTTTTCCTCTAATCAGACATCAGCAGGAGATATGACCATCAGCAGAGGAGTTAGCCTCTCACCCTCAATTTTCCATCCAACTGCAATCATTCTGGAAGACATCTGGTGTTGTGCGTGACCCCCTGGTGAATGCAATGGCCCTGCACCCTCCTGACACATTGCTAACAGCTAACCGGCCTCCCTTAAGTTCTGGTCTTTAGTAAAAGCAAAGAAGCCAACAAATAAATAAATCGGTCATGAGCACTAGACGTGGTCACCAGCGTGGCTCACCATTGCACACATGCCAACGTACCTGCCTGAGCATAAAGGAAAACAGAAACAAAATGTCTGGGAATGCCGCCTCCGTCTATGGAAAGCAACCACTTTTCTTATAGCGAATACTGCAAAATTCTGTCAGCGCAGTGAGCAGACTGTCTCTAGCTCTTAGGGAGACCTGTCGGGAGGCACTAGGACTCTGATTTTGCATTCGAGAGTGTAAGGTTAGTCTTTAGTTCCCAGGGTACAGAGAAGCTCGTCAGCAGAACCAGTGAATTCCACACCCGCCTTCCCTGGAATCCCACACTCTTGGCAATGAAAAAGCACCCTGGTGTGGCCCAGGAGTCCTGGGTGCCTCAGGATGTGGCTACAGAGGGTTCCAGAGACTGCCTGCTATCTAGACGTAGGGACAAGCCATAACTGCCCCAAGGGACACCTTCTTAAGAATATTTTGGGCCCTTATGCCAATTAGAACTGATGGGCTAAGATGGCGTCCTGCAGTGGAGGGAGCCAGTCCAGTGTAGCCTCTCCCCAGCACTGCCCAGACGTCCATCTCAGGGTGAAGCCTGCAGGCCCAGAGGTTCTGGTGAATGTGCTGAACCCCCTGCCCGCACCCGGGAGGAACCTGAGCACCACAGCTGCTGACCACAGGGGGATCCCTCCCAGAGCTGAGTCCGGTGGTCACAGCTCCGTGCCCTCGTTGTTCCTGAGCAGGGCAGCAAAGGGAAGGGGCAGATGGCTGTCCGTCAAATTCTAATACGAGGCAGCATTTTAAAATATCCACCAGAGAGCTCTTACCCCCTAAAAATCACTATCACACTCCAGTGAGCCTGGAAAAGAGAATCAAATGCCGTGCTTACGGGGACTCCGTTACCGAGTGAGTCTGTCTCTATGTGGAGCTTCTCCTCTTGAGGCCTCCAGTCGGGTAAGAGACGCCCTGTAGACAGGGTCCATGATTGGACCCTCAGGTGGGTAGGGCCAGCCATTTCCAAGTGGAAGGCCTTCATTTTAGGAGCTTTCCTGGACAGAGTGACCTCTCCACTTTTCGCCTGACTGGGAGGAATGTTCTGGAGTTTGTTGAGGGTTAGCTCCCCTCGGGAGCCTCACAGAGGAGGCTGGAAGCAGCCAGCCTTCTAGAGGAGATGACCTCCGAGAGGAGGCCAAGGATTCTGAGGGCTGAGAACAGGGCAGCAGCTCTGGAGGCATGGCCAAGTCTGATGGGGGACAGGGCATCCCCCGTGACCCAGGGGGAGGAGCCAGCTCTGCTCTGCCCTGTGACCACCTGGAACCCCACTTACACATCAGCAAATTCAGAGCTTAAGGACTCCTAGAAGAAACAACTAATCCTGTAGAATAAAGTTGGTGGCCCCAGGTTCACGTCCGGGGTCTGTGGGTCACAGGCACCGTTGTAAGAGTTGACCACTTGTATTCTCTGAAAGTCCTGTTGAGTTTCTGCCAGTCTATCCCATGCTTATAAAGAGAAGCGCCTTATTTAACTTTATGTATGTGGCCGGCAGTGGGCCTTTTGTTGTAAACGAGAAGCAAAGGGATTTGTGTTTTGCTTGTAACAAAACCAGCATCTTGAGTTAGTTTGTGAGTGTGTGTGTGTGTGTGTGTGTGTGTGTGTGTGTGTCCATGTGTCCGTGTGTCCTCAGTCCCACTGTCAGGTAGTAGTGCCCCCGGAGATGAGGAAATTGAGATTTAAGGAGGATAAGTTTTGACTTCCGTCATTCAGCTAGGAAAAGGCAAAGACTCAACCTGGTTTTTCTGCCTCATTCCATTTTTCCCTCTTCTCTGCCAATTTGGTTCTCAAATTTGGGAATTTGAATTCCCCTAAGGGATGTTAAAATACTGATTGCTGAGCTCCAACCCCAGAGTTTCTAATTCAATAGGTTTGGAGTAGGCCTGATAATTTGCCCTTTGAACAAGCTCCCAGGGAGTGATGCTGATGCTGCTGGGACCACCCTTTGCAAACCACTGAGATTACCATGTGGCCTCCTTTGTTAATACTCTGACTCTTCATATTTCCCAGTATGGAAAAGTTTGAAGAACTTTTATGGGCAGATATTTCCCTTGTGTTCAAAATAAATCCCGTTTGCTGGCTGTATGAGTCTGTTTTCTGTAGTTATAACAAAATACCTGAGTCTGAGTTGTGTATAAAGAAAAGAGGTTTATTTAAATACCAGTTTGGGAGGCTGAAAGTCCAAGAGCAAGAGGCCCCATCTGTTCCAGCCTCTGGTGAGATCCCCTCGGTTGCATTACAACCTGGCAGAGAAGCACAAAGGGAAAATGACTGCATCCAAATGAGGCCCAGCCCATGGTGTGGCTTCACTTTATAAAGCCCCATTCTCAACCACACAAATTTAGTCTGGAAGACCAGCATTAATCTCCTCCAAGGTGGTGCCTCCAAGACCCACTTGTCTCCCACTAGGCCCCAACTCTTGAGGTTCCACCAACTCAACAATACCCCACTGATGACCGAGCTTCCAGCACATGACCCTTGGTGGGACAGAGCACATCCAGACCAGAACATTGGATGATGTGGCGAGGAGCAACCACGAAGAAGTCTTGTGTTTTAGTGCTAGCAGAGTCGAGAGGGCTTTGAAACCAAGCTCCATAATTTGTATTAGACATTCTACTAGGTGAGGGGAAAGTGGCGCGAAGATGGCCTTACAAGAACAGGAGTCACAGTACAAGCACAAAGAGCATGGGCCCCCCCAGCCCCACGTGAGCTGGCCACACCTCCCCTTCCTGGAGAGGATGCTGCCCGAGGGCAAGCCAGCCACAGCGTCAGATCCTTGGGTGAGCCAGGCTTCTCTGCACCACAGCAGACACTCACATTTAGAAATTTCCACCACTGCATAGGGTCGTCCTCCTTCCTTCATAGAATCCAGTTTATGCAAACTGCACGATATTTTTGATGCATGTATTTTTAGCTCTTTTCTGGGGGTGGGCTTATATTTGAGAGCATCTCATCTGCCAAATTTTTAACACATTTAGATATTTATTTCCTTAGGGAAAATTGTAAAATTCAGCCAACATTTTTCCACTATGGATGTGTTCCACCAGCCAACATTCCTCCCACCAGGCCAGGGAGCAGTTCAGTCCCTCCAAACGCAGCAGTGCCACCCACCACCCATCCTAAGTAGTTTGTTGACCTGTGCACTCAGCACAGCCTTAGAAGGGGTTGATGTGGGACTTTATGAATAACACAGGTGAACTGAAGAAGGGAAGTGCTTCAGATAATAAGTCATACCCAACTCTCAAATGTGCCCCAACCAGAGAACGTGACAACACGTTGACCCTGGAAATGACTAAGCAGCAGATGCAGCCTCATGAGTGACTTCCCCTGAGGTCCCCCCTGTCTCCAGCAGTGCCCTCGGGAGGCCATGACCAGCACAAGACACACTTCTCCTTGGCCTATGTCCACTGACCTCCTTGCTTATCACAGGGTCTGGAATCAGCTCCGTGAGGACAGCCCTCCAAGGTTGGCCACCATGACTTTGTGGAAACTCTACTGGCACAAAGAGAGCATAGACCTTAGAGTGACCAGGCATATGTTCAAATGCCAGCTCCGCAGCCTCACTCGCCATGGTGTCTAGAGAAGCTGCTTAATGACTCTGAACCTCAGTTTCCTCTCCTATAATTAGAGATGGATGGATGGGTGGATGGATGGATGGATGGGTGGATGGATGGATGGATGGATGGATGG